GTTATCAGATAATACACAAAGAAAGATATGATAAGGTCACATTCACTTTGCATCTATTTATTAGATAAAACTCCTACGTTCTTCGATTTTCATTGTCGGTAGTAATGATGCTTTAAAAAAAACGGAATAAATTATGGTTTAATGGAGGGGTCTGAAAATTTCTGACAGATTGTGTCATTAAAATTAGATACAGCAAAACACGGATTGGACACGATTGTCTGATGTGTCTTAATTTGAATGAATTGATAGAATAAGTTCATTTCCAATTTAGTATGAAAGTGAACAATTTTAAGGTATTGAGGAGATGATCATTATTAATATGGAGGATTTGTTTACCTATTAAATTCATAACGTTTTAACGCAGCATGAAATATGTTTTGGAGAATCAGACATCAAGTTACGTGTCCCCGGATTTAGATAGTTTAACTGCAAACTTACATAGTAGTCATATAAAACATCAAAACACAATTATAGCACGGAAACATGTAGAAAAATACCTGAAAACCATCCTCCAAAAGAACGGCTATTCAACCAATTTCATCAAAAAAATACCAGCCGCACTCATTATCAGAAATGAAGTCAACTACAGAAATTAACAAAAGCATCACCTTACCATACATAAAAGGTATATCAGAAACGACAACGTGGCCGCCGAAAACCTTCGGAATAGGTGTTGCCCACAAACCAACAAAATCCCTCCATTCAATCTTATGTAAACCAAAGGATGAAATGACTAAAGAATACAAACCAAACATCATCTACAAAACAAATTGTGCCCACTGCGACAAACACTACATCGGACAAAGCGGACGCCCTCTTCATCTTCGCCTGCATGAACATCAATTAGCAGTCAAACGCCACGACATATCTTCACTCATATCAATTCACGTGGATAACTACGGACACACATTCGACTGGAAAAAATGTAGAGATTTTGGACAGAGGCAATCCCTAAAACACCAGAGAGTTTTTAGAAGTTTGGCACTCAGGTCAATCAGCAATAAACAAACATATTGAAATCAATCCAATTTATCAACCAATCAGGAAAATTATGCAGAAACATAGGAGCAAAAATCAAACCAATGGGAGATACAATCAAAACAAAGAAATAAACAATGACAGATTTAAGGTCAGTAAGAACCAATCAACATCGAGGTGCAGAGGACAAGCTATGAATCACATGTGGAGAAATTCAAACACTTCACTTCTACCCGAAGTTTGTGCTGGTAATGTCGTTCAGAAGGACGATGAAAGCACCACGACCAAACCATCCAGCTCAGGGAACAAAATTACATCAAAATCACCCTTTTGAGCTACAAATGTTCTCCACCATCTCAAAAACATCGTCTTACTTCACGTAGAAATGCGTTGCTTAATTATTCTACAATGGCTAAATAAGCCTGTTTCAATAACCTTGTTAATCTATGGTTGCCTCGATAGACTTTGTCAGTTTGATTTTTTCTTTTATTCTTGTTCATTTTCGGTCACTTGATTATTTGATATTTTTCCCATAGATTAGTAGATACCATTTATCATTTCACAATTAGATAACTGAACTTTTCAGCCGTGCAGACGATCATAAACCTTAAATCTACCCAGTTGATAAACACGACTTTTGATAAGATGTACTTATCATATCATTTTATTTTATTTTTTGTTGTTGAAAAAAAAACCCTCAAAATTTGTATTAGACTCTAAGATTTTCAATTGTCATGTTTACGCACTATATTTCACAAGGTAATTTACTAATCGTTTATAAAAATGCTTTCACTTGAAATGGTGTTAAATATTCTGTGGTGAATACGTTTCGCTGGTTTTTAAGCTTCGGACTAGGCTGTGGCTTTTATCTGTGATCATCCCATCCTTTAAGTTCTTATCTCATTTTAGTTCTTACCTTAGTGATCACATTAGTTTCTTTATAACAACTTCATTCAGTTTATGTTTACTTTAGAAAGGTTTTATGATAAATATATCCAAAGAATAATTCATTATCTCTAGTTACTCGTGAAGTAATCCTTTAGAAAGATACCTTGTTTTATTTCCACATTAAAATAAGAATACATTTTAATTAAGTTTCGTTTATTGTATTTTCGGAACAATAAGCGTAACTAACAATCAAAATTTGATGCTTTATTAAGTTATTATATTTCGGTACTGAGACGCTAACTTTATTTCTATATATAAAAAAAATAACATTTCGCTTAATTTAGTTGTCATATGGTTTCAGTTGCATCATCAATCAAAAGTTATATTTATTTCATATGGAAGATTGTTTAATGAGAATGACAACTTTAATTGTATATAAGCATACATATATAAGTAAAGTTTGTTTTTCAGCACCTAAATATTTATGTCTACATATTCTAATCATGAATGTTACTAAAAATAACAAAGAAAAACAGCGGTTTCATTATCCAACAATTCATACATAACGTTTTTAGACATTAGTTTAATTTTGTAGGTTGTACCCGTTGTAGATAATAATAATAATAATAATATATAGATTCTGAAAATAATAATTACAGAATTGGTGCCTGTTTACAGGTATGATCAACTTGATATAAATAGTAATATTAAATGTAGAGAACGAACATGTGATATGAGATTGTTTTAAGTTTACTAGTTCAATAATTGTTTAGGTAATACATTTTTATTAAAGCAATGAAATACAACAGCCGTGAACTTTTGATTCTTTTTAAGTGGACATCCTTTTGATGTATGAACGGTGCATTTAAGATCATTTCCTGCGCCATAACGAATTTATTATAATCATCTATAACTAGAGAAAATAAAGCAGAAACAGAGAGCACGGAACAAAAAGGCAATGATCACTACGATAAATTAGTTAGGTCTACTATAATACATATGTCAGGTTATATTCTTATCTACTATTTGAATTAGATATTATTCAAATAGGGTTGCCAGGGGCGGTGTTAAAGTAACAGCAGGTAGGTGGTTTTATTTAGTGAATTCAGTAATAAGAATGGCTAAACATTCAAAGTTCCTATAATCTCACTTGTGGAATAACATACACTTACAGGTGCTAGAACAGTTAATACATTTTCAGAGGAGCAGTATGTATCACTGCAACGAACAAAGGATGGGAGTGATTTTATCTTACGCATAGATTGTGGTAGAGTATTTCATAGTCTGGAAGGATTACTGAGAAAGTAATTCATGTAGAGAGATGATTCAAAATGTGTTTGTTTCACTAATGATAAGGAGTTAATTAGAAATTCCTGGATATTGAATTACTTGACTGGATGTAAAGGATAGTTTATTAAGCATTTTGAAGAAAAAGATTTTATTTAGTTTGAGTTTCCTCTTCCATAAAGGGTCGAGTCCAAGTTCATTATATGTGGACTTATAATTCAAGGTACAATCAGTTCCAAGAATCGGATGTGTAAGTCGTCTTTGTACGGTTTCCAACTTTACTTCATCCAGCTGCCATTTTGAGCACCACTGAAAACTAAAGACTGTTATATAGTTGTTTAGCCTTATTGTGAAACTCATTAGAAATGAGCACCCATGGCCAAAACGTTTTGTTGTTGGACTCAATTCAGAATTGTATCATTGTCTATGCATCCAGTGGTGTCAATGGTCTGAGGTTTACCGTGAGACCTGAAGGTATTGGGTCGACCCGTTATGAGGACTTGTGTGCACCAATGAAGGGTCACACACTCGGATCAAAAGGCTGTTACCCTCGTTACTTTTATGTATTCTTACTATGACGAACTCTCAAAGTGTCACTTCCATCTTAAAATAATATCGAAATAACAATGGAAATCCAAACGTGCTTAAAAGACAATTCAGTTAGCTTGATATTTCATCTGTTTATCTAGTGATCTTGGCTTAATTCAGAGAGTTTTTACCCTTCAGAAATATGTATACTATGCTTTTTCATTCTGAGTGATGTAAATATTTGGTAAAAGTCGTTAAAATCTCGAATAAATTGTTGATAAGATTTAAATAATAACCATATGCAACCAAAAATAATGTCCTTCACGTATATGGCTTATTACGTGATACCATATTTTTGGAATCACTACAATTTAGTGCTTGTTAAGAAATTATTTTTGATCACAAGAATACTGCTTCTCTCTTGAATAGTATGAAACATCTTATATGAAAAAAGAAGTATACATTACTTTCCTAATTTACCAGTATACGTTATTAGTTGGATGACATTTGATTATTATTTTAAGTGTAGCTAATTAATATGAATATAATCTCGACATTTAATTTTCTTTTCAACAGACTTAATCTTTTACCACAAAAAGTATTATTCAAATCAGATGTTTCCAGTTGGCAACCAATAGATGTACCACAACAATTATGAATTATAAAAAAAAGAAACCGAGAAGGACGATGAAACCATTTTTTTGTGTGTGACTATTTCCATTTTCTTTGCTCATATTCACTTACCATTACATTACTGTATCGATCTTTTTCATACTCAATGATTGAAACCCGAAATAAATTTAGGTGATAATATTTAAATACAAAAATCAATTATAAATGAACCGGTTAGTTGATATTAATTATTTAATCTATGAATTGTAACAAAATTAAACCCCTTTATCTTTTTGTTGTAATAAAATTTTCCATGAATTTATTTTAAACATTATTTCCTCCTTATTTCTATATTTGTATTCAATAATGTCATTGATTTTGCATTACATGTACTGATCTATGTTCTCTTTTCTGGTTACCCAGTGCTCTATCTCTGTCATACTAGACTGTTAATTTGTATTAAGTTAATTCATCATAATCAGTTTATTGTTGTTAATTTTCAGCCAATGATAAATATTTTTTTTCAAGAAATAGAACAAACAAATGGGGTATTTATATGTTATAGTTTTTACTATATTTCAAAATTACTGTGTATGACAATCAATGTTAAAAATTAGTTCGGCATGTTTACTTCAAAATCTAAAGGATTTGTGTGTATTCCAACCTTTTTTTTAACAAAGATATGTTAATGCACTCTAACTTTTATGCAGAAGTATACTGTTTTGTTAAAAGTTTTGTTTTATATGCTAAAGGAATTCAGTGGGATGGTAGCGTAGTGGTCAAGGTGTTCGATTTTTATCTTTAAAGTGGTAGATCCGCACTCAGAGCGTAAGGAACTAGGTAGTATCATAAGCTTGCACATTCAAAGCCAAGTATACAAACTTGTACTTGGTTGATTAGACAAAATAAGTCTAAAAAATATTAACTAACTGACGAATAGGATAATCGAAAGTGGCAATATAGAGATATACCGACCTTGAGTGATTCTGAAGTGATGATTAAAATGACTGTTCATACCGCAATTCGCATGACTACAAAAATACTGATGGTGGATTTGTTGTTGATTATCTAAAGTATTATGAGAAATATTATTTGTTGCGTTCATAGTAACTTTTTTGAAAGGAAGATCATGTGAAGTAGATGTGACAGAAAATAATTTATTTCAACTAAATCTTTATTGACACAAAATCAAATGAAACTAGTGGTATTCCACTGGATTATAGGGAAATGTGTCACTAATAGGGCTATATTAGTAAACTGGTTACGATTAGCAAAAAGTATATTGTTCACCTTAAATCTGTAGTCTACAAAAGCTTGGGTAATATAAAACAGACTGAAGAATTATTTACAAGGAGATAAAATCATTAAGCGATTAATAATATAACATCGTATAGATGAGTATTTGAATTATGTGAATCAATTTTAAACTGGAAATAATTTTGATCTAAATGGATTCATTGATACAACGTAAAAGATGTACACCTAACAATCAGGCCTCAATTTATATATGTGGAAAATTTAAAGCAGACGTTATGACGTAGACTTTTTAGCACAGACTACTTTCGTACTCTTTTAAAGTTAGACTAAATAATATTGTTACTGTAAAACTGTACTTTAAAAGTCACATATGTTTCAGATTCCACGCTGGTTACGACTGACTGATACTTTAAAGATATATATGGTAGCTTTAAGATCTGAAAGTCTTCAGTTCGATCATTTTATAGATTGTAAGTTCGCATTGAGTCCCACATAGTATCCCCCACTATTGTCTTGTGCATCAATACATGATATCATTTCAAAACTTTCAAAATCATTAATGAAAAGTGATATTTGATTCGGACTCATTACTTATAATTCACTCTTTTAAAGGAATATATGTTCACTTGTATACAAAAACCTAGTAATAATAGAAGTTTCATTGAAATGAATATTATGAACACAGTCCTGCAAAATGAGAGTAATTCAGGTTGTCAAACGTAGTTCACAATCACTAAACCAAGTTAATGAAAACTAATAACTGTAAAAAAGCATAAGAAAAAGAAACAAACGAACAGAAAAATAAACCAGGAAACTTAAGTGAACAGAGCACGGTAAAAGAGAGAGAAAATTAGTATTTATGACAATTAGATTGATATGATACTTATTTATTGTACCATCAACAGTTATTTATACGAATATACATTTATCATTCTGTATAGATTGATATCCTTATACTGTACCTCAGTAACAAACAATCACAATAGGAATACCAAGGCAAAAACAAGAAAAGGATTTAAGGATAAAAGAACGACTCAACACGAATACATATATGTATAAGACCAATGATGTTAATATGTCAAAATAGCTCTATACATAAACCATACAAAAAGGGACATGTCAAAGCCAATATCACTTTATCATACTGTAATATGTAATTTGGAAAACAAAAGAGATATGAAAGAATGAACGGAAACACAGGAACAAAGCAGAAAATATTAGGAAAAAAAAGAAGAGAATTATCATCATACTCAGTATAATAAATTAATAATAATCACTAATTAGGATAGAAATGACATAAACTGCTGAGTCTTTTTTTTCTTCCGTAAAAAAAGGTTCCATAAAAGGAAAATAAACTAATACATTCAGAGAGAGAGAGAGAGAAAGAGAACGATATTGCAAAATGATTGATTCTATTTGGCTATCATAGATATATATAAGGAGTTGCAATTACTTAGTTGATATATATACAAAGAATGATCAGCTAATGTTGTTAATTATTTGGAAAATCGATTATCATTATTATCACTAATATATATTTCTGAATAATGTACATAAGAATAATTAAAGAGAACAATGTAATAGACTAGTTAATAATAAAGTATTGATTATTGATAAATACATAAAATTAAAATGAATCGTTTCTAAATGATAAAATTAGTAGACTGTTCAATTATCAAAATAGACACACATAAATACATTCAAAGAGAGATGGACTACAATTCCTTTATAACTACACTCCTACCCTCAAAGCTGGAACATTTGGAATATCTCAAAAACAATAAGAAAAAAAATAAAATGAATAAGCCGTCGAGATATTTACAGATGCAAAATGTCAATTTAATACAAATCTTATAACAATACGTATGGATATATATGTAAAAAAAAACAACAAAGAAATAGAGAAGAGATGGAATAGATCATTTTATGGAAAAATAGAGGCCTAATGAGATAATAAAAACTGAAAAAAAGTTGATGAAAAATCAAATAAATGAGAACTGAGGAAAAAAGAAAGTTAAACTGACACATACATACATGCACAAACATAATTCTTTAACTTGCTAATTAGGATTGTATACAAAAGTGACAGAAATCTATTGACTAGGGTTAGATATCAAATAATAGACATCTTTTCAATTTATTCATTTATAATAATGATAATGATAATAGTAATAATAATAATAATATATCATATTATAACGGTAATAAATATAAACAATCTCAATAATGTACAATATTAAAGAAGAACTACAGTAAAAGAAAATACATGATTTGAGTACATTTGTAAATTCAATATGATTTTTTTTGACAAATACAAGAGAGATAACATTTAAGATTGATCCATATGTAATTTAGCCATATAATCGGATAAATGTGAATTGCTTAATCGATAAGCTGCTGTTGTTGAAGAAGAAGATGTTGATGATACAATTGGTGCTTCCACTGATGATGATGGAATACTACTACTACTATCACTTAATTTTCTACTTTTCATTGAATTGAATTCAGTTGGTTTATTCATTTCAACTAATTGATGCTCCATATGAATAGCTTCAGAAAATGACCTATCGAATTAATAAATCAAATACAGTTAGAAAATAAAAATTAACTTTATAAAAAAGGTGATTTGAGAAGGAGAAAAAAGTTTATAAATACAGAATTTATTGCTAATCATTATATTCACCAGTATTGAAATGATAAATTAAGGTGTTAAAATAGCAGTCTATCCATAGTTTGACTAGTAAGTGCTTATATCTTTTTGTTAATATTACTTAAAATTGAAAATAACCTGTTTGTTTTAGTTTATGTGTAACTTATGCTAATCGTTTCAATAATGCTAAATGTTGACAAAATTTAGATAATGGCTAACATTGGAATAGTTTATACACAATCCATTATCTATTAATGTTATAACACTAGGTTTCTTTGTTATAACGGTCCTTTTACTTTTTACACGTATGTGAGACGTTAATTTACCTTAAACGAATATCTATACTAGATTCCCTCCAAGTGTCTATTCTACAGGACTTCAACACAACTCAAATCAACAACACGTGATTAGCCTGACTAAAACGTCGATATATTTCCACCAAAATCTTACACAATCCAACAACAAGGAACAAGTAAGTAATAAGATTAAGGGAATATCTAACAAATATAACACCTATCACATTATCTGCATGCATGACTAAACAAAAAAAAAATCATTATCATTCTCTCCCACATATCAATTAATGAATTGAATAGGAGAATAATAGAGTAATAACTAATTAAAATATGCATAATAATCAAGTCAGTAGTTTTTAGAATTCTCAATCAAAATTAACTTTCATTAATACTAGTAATTAAGAAGTATTGTCTTTTTTATTTCTATTCTTAAATATAAATAATATCTGGAAATCTAATATAATCTAATAGATCATGAATCAATTAAAGCTAGACCACCAAGGAAAACCTGGAAGCACTGGATAGCTGTTTCGTCGTATTGTGGGACTTCTCAGCAGTGCGCACCCACGATCCCGCCTCGCGAGATTCCAATCCAGGACCTATCAGTTTTGCGTGCGAGTGCTTAATCTTCACATCACTGAGCCGACATCGAACGGTGTTAATGTCTAACTTTAACCGATCCACGAAATTGAGCGATACATCCACCAATGTCTTCAGTGAGTTATTATCTCTCAACAGACCTGGTTGAACTCCACTGTTCACTGCTTCTTTCCACTAGAACTCCAGGAGTCCCAACTATTAAAATTACTATAATATCTACAAAATCGCTTCTGATATAAATCTAATCTACCCGAATACCCTAGATTTACACCGATAAAAATGTTAACTTATAATTTCTATTTTTAACTGACATAAAGAAACAAAATTTTACTACATACATATTAATAATAATTAATACACAGAATTTAGTTTTATGTTGTTGCCAGAAAAACAAAAACAAAACAACCTTAATTGTATAATCAAATTCATTGGTCAGTAGTTCTATTCAGTAGTTAATCAAATCACTATAAATCCAGTAGTGAAACAGAGTAATTTGAAGCTATACAAATATTACTTATAGTTTAAGCCAAGAGTTATTTTTTAAATATTTATTTATTAGGAATAAACCGCCGTTACAAAATCAATCTTAGACAATGATTTATTCATATATTATTGTTTGTTTGGATCTTACCATTGATGTTTAGTATTGAAATTGATCGGGTCTCTTTTGCTTGCGTTTTTTATATAGTTAAATTGTAATGTTTATTAATTGATGTGTTAAAAAAGTGTTCGATAACTTTTTCAGCAGTCATCTCTTGAAGAAAATATACGAATTTTCATTGACACTAAATACACCATTAAGTTCACTGATGATTAGACAATTTGAGATTAGTTACTACTTAGTGAAATTACGGTGTACACATGCTATAAGGTGACTCTCAAGTCCATATCTATGACCTTGGGATTAAGTGACAGGTTGTGTGAAGTCAATGTAGCATAACTTCATTAAAGATCCTAAATATATTTCGTTAATGAGTTACAATATGTACGTGATCTTGATTTTAACCAACTGAAGATCATGAATTGACCTAAGTTAGACACCTATTGAAAACCATGAAACATTGGACAGTTATTTCATTGTAGTATACACTGTTTCAGTGCTGTACATGCACTGTCACAATAGGAAGTAGAATTAAAACCTTTAAGTGACTACCTTTGAGAGGAAATTACTGGAGTTTAAGTGACAAGCCGTAGCTAGCAAAATTCTACCATATTAGGTGTAAGACAGTCATCCAATGAAGAAAACATTGCGGATTGGTTCAAGTCAGACAAATAAACCGTTGAATACCAGTTTAGTGGTCTAAATGTTAAGGGCTTTCCATGACAGCTCAAAGTCTTAGGTTAAATTCTCCAGCGAATGCTCACTGCTGAGGATTCCCATACTAGAATGAAATAGCTGTCAAGTACTTCTTGGTTTTAGGTAGTTGTATGACATTTTCTCTTCCAAATTCTCTCACATGGGACTATTTAACCTTCATCACAAAAAATGGGCGCCTTCATCCAAATATAATATTACCAAAAGTTGAGTGTTACTCTCTCACTATATATATATATATATATATATATATATATATATATATATATATATTATAGTAGAAAGCATGAGTCAATTGAAGCTAGACCACCATGGAAAACCTGGAAACACTGGACGGCCGTTTCGTCCCATTATGGGACTCCTCAGCAGTGCGCATCCACGAACCCGCTCTCGCGAGATTCAAACCCTTCTGATAAATCTCCACAAAACCCCTTCTGATAATTAGTATATATCACTTCAATGTATTGCTCATTTCATTTTACCAATACTTTTATAATTGTGGGAAGAAGAAATGATAAATTGTCATTTGTAAGAATATTCTCATTCATTCTAGTTCTTTGCTGTACTTACAACATGTTTTCTTTAAACAATAACAGTAAAACACCTAAACAAATGTACAAACGTAAGTATTCAATTGTAAGCCAAACATTTAGTGTAAAGGCTGATTGAAATGAATTAGGTATGGATGAGTTAGGACCATTTATGATCTGTCAGTTGAAAGTCGAGTACTTGAATAACTAAGCTAGTATCAGATCTCTTAATATATAACTATTTATTACATATAATTTATTAGTTTGTTGAATCATCTATGATTGTGCAAAATTGTATTTCTAAGTGACTAGATTAGTTTTTTTATAACTATTATAATTATAATAATTCAGTTTTCAAGACTTTGAATACACATATAAAAAAGTTTATATCTTGTTATGAATGGTGCATAATCTTAAGTACTTTCCAGTAACAAATATGCATCAATATTCATAGTTCTTTACCCTCACTACGAAATGCAGTTAAGTAACAAGTTAAAATAGATTAGTCAAATAGACAGCCAACGGACTGTCTAATTGCAAAACAAGTTGCAGCCTATTGAACTTTTTCATATCGGTGGATACACAAATCGAACAGGGCTTATCAAGTTTCCATAGTGTATTAAGTTGATTTGGCAATTCAAAAGTACATGTAAGAGAAGTGTAATGAGTGACTGCGTTAGTCAACATGGCGAATAACATCACACACATCTATGCTATGCTCAGTCGGAAGGCATATTACGGTAGTGAAGAATTGTTTTCATTAAAGATGATGATAATTTGGTGCACCAAAAGAGTTGATAATATACTGTAGAGATATCAGTATTACACAAGTTTGCTCTATCTGCACACAAAACTTTGGTGGTGAAACGTTCAAGATTATGAATTATGAATTAAAGGATATTTAACAGGCATGACAAACAACATGTGAATAATCGATAGTGATAACTATCTTTTTCCTTAGAGAAGAAAAAATAACAATAAGAACACAACCTATTACTTACATCGCAACATTTTCTTCTGATACATTTGTAAAACATTTCCATCCAGTTTTAGCATGATGTCGAATTGTAGTCATTAAATTGACAACAGCTTCAGGTCTAGGTGGACGAATTAATTCAGAATTTGGTATCCAGTATACAGCATTCATCCATGCCTCTTGAGCGCCATCAATATTTACACATTTATTTGGTTGTTCATTATTCAGTACAGGAATCCAATGTGATTGTGAAGCAGGGAGTAATAATGCATTTACACAAGATGTAATACAATCAGCTACAGTTGAGGGAGAATAACCACCTTCCAATGCTAAAACTATACGACTATTTGATATAGACATACACTAAAAAATGAATTGGAAAAATCATAAAATGAAAAAACAAAAAAATATAAACAAGAACAATCAAATTTGTTATATTCATTATTGAATTTTCTGAACGTTATTAATACAGATAAGATTAATTCATAGGTTATTACAGTAGAATGTACAAGGGAAAGAGTTTATCAAGTTGATTATAAACGGCTTCGGACCCAATCACATAGTCTTGTAACAAGAACATTGGCTTTAAACAGTAGTGGTTGAAAATATTGTTGCATTCAACTGCTGAATAAAAAAAGCACTTCTACAATTAAAAAAATATGTACATGAACTGAGTACTAAGAAATGATTTCTACACTGTCGTGGAATTTTCAATAAAAAATATGATCATCTGATCGTAATTAATAAGATGGTTCATGGTTTCACACTTGTCAAGTTCTGTTGGTCAATAGAAGGTTATAGGCAGGAGGGAAGTATATTCGTTGAGAGAATTTACAAGGTACTTATTTACATAATACATATACATAGTCTTCAATTGTTCATTTATATTTTTTGATGTGTTTCGCCAACGTCGTGCTTTCGATGTACTGAAACTGTTCACTCGGTTTGACAATTGTTGCATCTTCGATGCCACGTTCCGCTATATACTACTTACAAACGATCATGTGAGTAACGTCCACTACACTCACTCCCTATTAAATTTTCGAGCATGCAGGAGTGTTGACTTTCGTGGTTCTGTTGTCATCAGCTCCGATGTGTTAATTTACTTTTGGAGCTGGAAAGCGCTCATAACTTTCTCTTCATCGCCTTTCTGGGTGGTATACACCGGTCCGCGTCTGTTGATAATAAAGTCTGGTCCTTCCTACTTGGGTAGCAGTTTCTGTGGGCCAAATCCGCCTACTGCTATTCCCATTCACCTTCTATATTTCACCTTATCTTCTACTGAAAAATTTTTCAACTGTTTATGTAGCCTTATGGTTATCTTTTGTTTTGTCGTACATTTCTTAGCGTGTGCTCTCCTTCATCCCTACGGCTTCGGCCACGTTTTGTCTTCTACGTCCCCGGCAATCAAGATCATCTGCCGTACATCAACTACAGGGGCACCTTTCTTGCAGTTCCTTGGACTGAAGTACAACGAGCTAGTTATATCATCGGTAGTTCCATCTCCCACTTACCTCCTTTTGCTGCCGCACTAAAACGACTGACACGTAACTCTAAATGGATTAATTTCAGTCATCTGGAGAAGGCCAGTGGACATCACGAAATCAGTAAATAAGTAGTAATTTTAGTTACCATAACAGGAAACAATTCTGCTTTCAGTCTTTTAAAATAAAGTTTTTCTCAATCAGTACAAACGTATCACTCTGGTTGCTTATCATCACGAGGGTTAGTTTCAGGAATCTGGTATTTACAGTCATTTCGCTATTGTAACAAAAATCTATCTACTGTTCCAGTAAACAATGAAATATATGACACCAATGAATTTATGTTGTCGCCTTTTTAAAAGAACAAAATTACCTGATGCGTAATCCATGCAAATAAACCAGCTGATACAGAATAACCGCCTAATGCTTCACCATGCCCATAAGCAGCGTCATAACCAGCTGAAATCAATATAATATCTGGTTGAAATTCATGTCCGACTGGTATAACAATAGAACGCATTGCAGCTAAGTACTCTGCGTCACTTAAACCTAGTAAAGGTTCTTTCCAAGTACCAGATGACAGTGGTTGATTATGATGTTGATGATTAGACGTATTTGATGCTGGTGGATATTGTTGAAAATGTGGATATGAATGATAAGGATGACAATTAATTGGATTAGTTTCAGGCAATAATAGATCTGATTTATCTGAGCATGATTCAATCGATTGTGATAAACAGAATGAACAAACTTGACTACTTCCAGTACTTGTTGCTTTATTAGATGGACATGTACAAAATGGTGTAAGATCAGAATTTTGACTATTTCTTATAGATGTAGGATGTTGAAATGGCAAAGATATTGAAGAGGATGATAAAGAATTGTGTTGTTCAAAATTACATTGATTTGAATAACTCAGATACTGATGATGATCAGATGACCCAATAGTTTTGTATACCTTTTGCTTTAACAAAATGAAATTAGAAGAAAAGAAAAATTGTATTTCAATAATTCAAAAAAGCACATTTTATCAATGACCTTTTTATCAATCATAATAGAACACTTTAACTATGTAACTCGAAAGATAGTTGAATGTGAGTCGGAAAGTAGTGAGTTCCAGACCCGTCATGACCATTAACAACGGGGTGAAGACACATTCAAGTGACAAGTACCATAGAGAACGGAACTCACGTCCTAGGTTCCACTGCTAGCCACTTTCGATTGTGCGTATAAAATTATTGTCACTTAATGGTAATATCGACGTGATTCACACAGGATGAACGTATACTAAAAAAGACTGATCAATTGCAGTTCACGACATCAATGGGAAGATTCCAACTCTGAAGTGTAAACCAATAAGGTTAGCGGTTGAAACATTTAGCTTTTATCTAGTAGACCACAAGTTCAAGGCTCATCCCAACTATTTTAATTTAGAGAGCTGGGTAACATTTATAACCAGCACATAGGAAATTGTGACTCACATGTGTATAAATAAATGATTACTTGGTAAATAAGTTGAAATGATTTTGTTTTAACACCCTAGTGTACCGGAACCTTCCGAAACTTGAGAGACTACAATATTATCATAATGTTCAATGAATAACTTCATTATCTTAGGATTTCATGCTTTAAACTGTTTTGTATATTGTAATTACATATGTGAAATGGAAACGAACAACTTACTTTATCCTGTGTTGGTCGATTAGCAGCATTCTAAAGTGGAAAATAATACGGAAATATCATTGAAATGAAGTTATGTGGTATTTATGAAGTAGTATCTAATATAAATATTTCACTGGATCAGAAATACAGTAATTTGAAATGAAATACTAAAGATTTCTGATTTTAAAAGGAGGATTTTTAGTTATCATTTGTATCAACGTAAAGCTGCTATTGCTTTCCAATGTATCCTACTCGATACAACTGTACTGATTATAAAAGCAATATTTCATTTTCTTCCCGAGAGATTCGTTCTTAAATAAAAAAGCATATTGTTCATTTTATAAATTAAATCTTCTTACAATGAGTAAAAAGGATTAGAAGAATTTATCGACTGTTCTGTGAATAACAATTTTATAAGCATAGATAGATGGCGGCTAGCTGTGAAATCCAGGACGTGAGCTTCATCCTATTTATGACTCATCAGCTGGATGTACTTGTATCCCAGAGTTGATGTCCAATGGGAAGATTTAAACAACCGATACAAAAATTAATTTTCAATTTTGTATTTGATTGTTCACTTCTCATCTGGTAACAAACGCGATGGCGTTTGAAGCGAGGGTACTGGGCTCGAGTCCCAGAGTGAACATCAAGAATGAGATGCAGGTACATCCAGCTGAAGAGTCCCAAATAGGACGAAACGCGCGTCCTGGATTCCACTGCTAGCCACTATCCATCTCTGCTTACCATGCTTGTGAATTAAGGCTATATTGAGGCAATACGCACAGTATGCACATATGCCAATTAGAGACTGACCAGTTGCAGTCCTAAACATCAATGGGAAGATTCAAACAAACAATACTGAATGAATTTAATCATATTATCTTCAATAATTGTGTTGTTCGAATAAATGACAGTTATTTTGTAATTGAGTTTGCCAAAAGTTTGGCGAACAACTCTGCGAATGAAGTTTACTTACTCAAGTATTTTATCAAACTGACCAGGAGGTTAGAACACTACTGTCGTACATATATATATATATTGATTGTATTCTAAGAAAACTACCTGAAAATTAACATTTAGCCTGACAATCGTCCATCGATGAAAAATAACAAATTATGAGGAGTAAATTAAGAACAGCAACAATACTCACTTGAAACCATCGTTTTCTTCTTTCATCAGCATCTAAACTATAAGGATTAACAGTAGATGTAGTTGTTGATCGACGTTTCATTTGTGATCTAATTATTTCAGTATAATTATTATCACTTTTACCGTTGTATGGATTTTCCCATGCAATATTTATTAACTGAGCTGATGGAGTTATTGTATTAGAAAAATTATTGACAAATTTATTATTGAAATTTATATTTGCCTTATGGTTTGAACCATGATCATCGAAATGATCGAATTTTTCTGAGGAAATGTTACTATCAGAAACTGGTACAGCAACAGGAGTAGTAGAGGTGTGATCGCTATCACAAGAATTACTTCGCGAGGATTGATTCTCTTCTGTACAATTAGATACTGAACCAGTACCAGGAAAAAAAGTCCCACCATCATATCTATGCAAGCTTAAATAAACCAGTCCAGGATGTGTTGTAGCCAGCTTAGTTCCATTGCCATGATGGATGTCCCAGTCAAGAATTAAAACTTTCGAAACAATACGCTCACGTAATAAATGCAATGCAGCAATTGCAACAGAATTAAAATAACAAAATCCCATAGCTTGATCTGGTTCAGCATGGTGACCAGGTGGGCGAACAATGGCGAATCCATTACGGAAATGACGTTTCGCTACCCTGTAAATGAAATTGGGAAGTAAAAAAGAGCTATGAACAACTTTATTTCCATGTTTCTAAATATCTCGGTGCTATGCAGTGGTCATCTATCATGGGGTTAAAGATACATTTTAAATGTCATTTGATTGCTAGCTCGTTACTCACTACTTAGTAATTAGGTTAAAATCCTATGTTATATATATATATATTCGTTGAAAACCTTATTTATTAGTGACAATCACTAACAAACACATATACTTAATTTTTAATAGTTGAGATCATGAGTCAATTAAAGCTAGACCACCACGGAAAACATGAACATATTAAACGGCCGCTTCGTCCTGTTGTATGACTCCTCAGCGGCGCGCATCCACGATCCCACCGCACGAGCGCTTTATATCTAAACTACTGAGCCGGCATCCAACGGTGGATGCGCACTGCTGAGGACTTTCACAATAGGACGAAATGGCCATCCAGTGCTTGCAGGTTTTCCATGGTGGTCTAGCTTCAATTGACTGATGATCTCAGCTATTAAAAATCCTCATAATATCCACAAAAAACCCTTCTGAAATATACTTGGTTGAGCGTCAAAGTTAGGATTTTCTAGTTACAATACAGAAGATCGATTTAATTACAACTATTATCATGATCGCTAGATTATTAATCAATTAAATATCAGGAAATAATTTTAGGATATATTTTATAGAAGACAGATTTGAATGTTTTAATTATAAATTGATAGCAATCCATATGGTTACTAGTAAGATTTATCAATGTCTTCTGGAATATTCACTTATTTATACTGTATACATAGATACATAACCAGCCTAATATACACTTATCTCCAGTTTTTTCACACCCATTTATTATCAATTTATATAAGTGTTATTCCTTCTCCACCTCAAAACAAATACATACCTTCTAAATTAATAAAATTTTTAACATTGTTTTTATATTATAAGCTACTAAAAAGAGTTCAGAGAGTATATATTAATCCTATCGTTATATAGAATGTTAGTATACAATAATTTAGTCTAGAATTATTGTTTAATTTTACTAAATGAATCAATGTTAATTTTTACTTTAGTTTATTTTTAGATGAGTGTATTAATATATATATATATATATATATATATATATATATATATATATGCTGTATTTTGCATTACATACATTAATTTAGTGAAGTATGTCATTAATGTCAGTCACTCACAACGTAGAACTTTGTACGTACGTACATCAGTTCGAGTTGTCATACCATACCACATTGGCACAGAGATGCAGCTGTCGATTCAAATCCTATAGTGGTAGAGGTAGTAAGAGTATAATAAGTAATCCGCAAGATTAGGGTTTCAAGATGTTATTCAAGGAGTATAATCCAGTGAAATAAATTTGGGAAAAATGTTAGTGGGACATAGATTGGATATTTCATGTATCCATGTTTCATGCATGATGGTGTTGCTGTGCGCTGATTGACTAATTCTAAACCGATCAGCCCGGGCATATTATTGGAGAAAAATCTAGAAGCCTATTATGTATATACTATAAGTATATGAACGTTATTTAAACTATTGATTGCTGTTCACTTATTATTATTATTTTGAATACAATTTCATTCCTGTTCAACGTGTTCTGATTTTGGGGTCTTGTCGAGTGTCATCGTATAAGAATACTAAGCAATAGGAATAGCTGGGTCGTTTATATTAGCAAAAATGCAATTATAACAAAGAGAAAAAAGATAAGGATATGAAAAATTCAGAAGATTAGAATTTGGGAGAACACAAAGAGTGAATACATCTTCGCCATTGCAAACGATTTTGAGAGAGATATACATATAAATATAAGAAATCATATACATAGGTATTCATTTTAAGTTAATTATTATTTACATAAGTAAACATTAAAATGAAACAAAATTATAAAGTTAGAATGATTGGTACCTAGAATAAAATGATAGACGAAAAACAAAAAAATTCTTTTAATTAACAGGATAAGTATCTAGATGAACAAAAGAAAGAAATAAGGTTTATAATATTTAGTTAGTAGTTTATAAGACAAGAAATATTACTATTGATAAAGAATGAATAATCTATTCGATGAAGAAGTGGCTTATTTGTTGAAATACTTAACTTTTAAATACGCCTCCATTTAATTTCATCATGAATAACCGTGGTTAAAAGTTGAGTACATGAATCACTCACTTCATTAATGAGTTGAGTAACATTCTTTTTATGAATAAAAAGGCTGTCTGTACAATATATACAGTAATATGTAGCATGCCTATAAATTAAAGTCAGAATCTTGAATACGGACGTTCAGACAGTTTTATTGTACGGATATGAAACTTGGAGAACTACGATAACCATTATCAAAAAAGGACAAGCGTTTATAAACAATTGTCTACGCAAGATAATGAATGTCCGTTGACCAGATACCATCAGCAACAACCTACTGTAAGAGAGACTGAACCAGCTACTAGCTGAAGAGGAAATTAGTGAAAGACGTTGGAAGTGGATAAGACTTACATTGAGGAAATAAACAAGCTTTATCTCGAAGGAAGCACTAACTTGAAATCCTGAAGGCAAAAGGAAAAGCGGTAAAACATAGAACGCACTGCGTTGAGAATCGGAAGTAGACATCAAAAGAATGAATATCAACTAGAAAGGATTGTCCAGAAGAGAGTTGGATGGAGAATGTTGGTGAGTGGCCTATGCTCCTCGACGAGGGGCAACAGACGTAAGCAAGTAGTATACAGTATAATCTTTGAGATTAGAATTACCAGGTGATTATATAACATCCATAATTTAATACGTGATAGATTTTAATATATAACTGAAAAGTTCTTGAATAATTCAAAAAAACAATTATTTGCTTATTCTCCAGTATACATCGTGTAATACTAGGCAGTAACATTTATACAATTAATCGACGAAATTGAAATTCGAATTTTACGATAATATCGGTAAAATCCATATCAAAATTCCTGACACAGAAAATTCACCCGACTGACATATATGGAATCAGAATTCCAAAAGAATCTTTAACATCACTGTAAGTGATCGATATTCAAAAGGCAGCAACATTAAGCTGTTCCCTGTTGTTCTTTATCCTGGTGGTCACTGACGTATGATCATCATAGGTCTAACGAGGCCAAATTGTCAAATTTACTAATAGTTACTTCTTATCTTTAAGAAATTATAAAATGAAAACCTATTTATCATGTAATTGATTTAATATGTAGTTATTCCTTCACTCGAAAATCGTGTATCTATGCCATACGACTAATTTTCATCAACGGATTACTATTTACAATTAATCGACCGGACAATGAAACGCTTAGTTTGAATAACTCACATTTATATAATACAGATACCATATAAGGGCAAAAAAGATTAACAAGTAACAAAGCCAGTCACTCTATGGCTGACATTGAGGAGGGTGAGATATGATGCTTGTACTGTATTGGGAGACAGTAGAGTAAAACTTTATTTCTCATGAAAGTGAACTCCGTTCAGAATAGTCAAAAAATCGCACCATTTGCTTCGATATGAAGCGTATAGGATTTCATGAGTAGAAAACTGAAATCAAATCATGAACTGACCAATGTTATACCACCACTAAAAACCTGGAAGTACTGGACGACCGCCTCACTCTAGTATGGGACTCCAGTAGTCCCACTAAGGATTTCCTTGAACAACTGTAAGCATTCACTCACAAAATTGTAAAATAAACAAATTTACGATATAAAAAACTCAGTAATATTGAATAACAGGCAAAAATACAAGTATTAAACTGAAAGTTATGTAATAAATAAAATATAATTAAGGAAAATTTATAATCCAGTATCACAATGAATAAAAAGTAGTACAACAGACAAACTCATTTTAACCAATATATTAGTCAGTAGAAATGATACATAGATAGTTAGTTCGCCAGCTCATTGAAACATTTATGGTAAAATTAAACCACTGTCAATAGATTATAGATAGCATAGCTTTCAGTAATTTATTAGTGATTGCCATTTGCATGATAAATTTGAAAAACATTGATGACTTTAGATAATAAAAGTAACTCACTGTGTGTTCACCTGAACACAACAAATAAAATTTTCTTTCAAATAGAATCAATTACTTAAGTTGTACATTCATATTTACAGTTGTTTGATGAATATATGGGTTTATGGAAGAACAGAAATAGACTACATCATAAAGTGTCCCGAGATTTCAAATATCAAAAGCAGGTTGCATAGTGATCGAGAGGTTAGATAAGAAAAGGGGATGGAAATAATTTATGGGTTATAAACAAGAGAGATACTTATCTCATTAACACACATGGAGAAAAAAAAGAAAAACGTAAAGGTCATAATAACAAGTGAATAACAATCATGGAAAACTGTTAGAGGATAATAATAACTGATTAGGGTTCTAAAAAAAAGTACAAAATAATAACAAATAAAACCGACCGAAACGTACTGGAAAAGAGAATTAGGGCCATGAAAAGACAAGAGATTGTATGTATTGCTTTAGCGCACAGAGTTAAGGTTTGGAATTGTGAATAGTTAAACCCCCAGCAATGAACAACCTTCTGACTTTACTACGCTTTGATCCCATTCCTTAAGTATTTAAGTTATTTTGAGGGAAGATTCTTTTGGGGTAATGTACCTAGAGTTGATGAGGTGCTCGTGTATTGAAATACTGATTGTTTCGCATTGCTCTCTTAAAAGCCATCGCGGGTGATGTTCTAACATGCACTTAGAAAGTGTTCGTTTGGTGCGGCCAATGTAACTTCTCCCGTAAGAACAAGTAAACTTACAGAAGCAAATCAATGCGGCTCAACGCGGAAGTTTTTCCTCAATATATTCTTAAACAGTAAACTGGCTTGAGAATATATTACGAAACATAGCTGAACAGGAAGTCTTCCTTAAAGATTTCGAAATTCGTTTATTTATTATTTCTGCGATCACACCGTTAAATTTGATATTCATACAGAGTTTTATTTTGAACTGTCGGTGATCTTTCAGGTTGTAGTCTTGGTGTTAAGTCCCTATCGATGAATCTAGACGGATAATCATTCATAACGAGTATTTTACAAAGTAACGTAACAATCAGAAATAAGATTTTTGTTGACAAAGAACCTCAGTTGCTAGAAATGAATGTTTCACTAGATAATTGTATTGAAACAAAAAATATAGTATACAGAGGAACAAAAAAAACAATAAAATAATGAACTAACTGATAAGCAAGGCATAAAACTTGACCAACAGCTAAACGAGCAGCACGAGCTGTTTTATACGGATTCCAAACTGTATCTGAATCTACACCAACACCACCACAAGCTAATGAACATAATTGATTTGATAAACTTGTCTTGGTACATGAATTAAATACTGGTAATCCACGATCAATAGTTGTAGATCCACAAGATACAGTTGATAATGATGACGATTCATTTGAACATTTTGACGACGGTCGATCATCATTCGAAACAGTGGGAATAGTGCCAAATGTTTGAACATATTCATTTGAATGGAATATTTGTAATTCATTCTATCAAGTAAAAACAGTTAATTATACGCTTATACAAAAGAAGAACAAGATGGTAATAGGATGGAATATATATTCAATACAAAAACGTTACCATTTAAAATTTTCAGGAAATATATTATTATTAAAACACTCAATGAGCTCATAAACTTATTTCATAGGCTAAAAGATTTTCTGAACAAAACGTTTTTTTGAAAAATTGTGTACTTCTAACTATCATAAGAAAAGATTTCAGAGATTTCTTTATCAAAAATTGAATGATGTTTTTGGTAAGATGAATGGTATGATTGACTGTACATGATAATATTGAGTTCGCTAAGCTAGGTGGTTCAATAGCGAATAATCTGAAACGCTTGACGATTTTGAATATTATCGGATAAAGCCACCTCAACTTAACAAACTCAAATTATCAAAACAACCAAACGAAAAACTATCGTTCTACATTATTTCCAAAAGAATTATGAAGACTAAGTATAATTTAACATGACTGTTTTATTTATGATATTCACTTTAACATAGGCGATATATAAATATGGAGTATATATATATATATATATATATATATATATATATATATATCATAGAGGTGGCCTGATAGTCAGGGTGTTTAACTACTAAGTGCAAGGTTTTGACCCCACTCCGCCTATTTTAGTTCAAGCAACCTAGTGATATTAGTAGCCTTCATACCTAGGGTGTAAGCTCATACCCAAATACTTGATGATTGAGTTATAGAACATAATGTAAACGCTGTGTTGTACACAACTATTCTAATTAATGTTGTCAGAATAGGAAATTATTTTCCAGAAAGAATAATAATATTCCTGTTTTATTAATTCTACCATTTAAGTAGATAACTGGATAATAGTAGAAAATATTTCGGAAGACAAGACAAGAGAATTTAATAAACGCTAATTATGTCGAGAATTCTATATTGTACCTAAAAACATAATATTGAATAAAGTCAATAGTAATAATAATAATAACCAGTAAAAAAACACACACGCACATGATAATAGAGTAAAAATAGTCAAGAAATGAGGTTAGCAGGAAATAAGAAAAATAAACAAGAGATCGATGCCAAAATATGATCACTATAGACATTCTATGCAGTAATAATCATAATATATTGATTAAATAATACTACTCAAATGGTATTATCAAGAAAAAAATTAAATAGAAGCATTCTACAAACCATTTATTGTAAAGACTAAGTGAACTGGACAGAACAATGTACACATCTTAGAATATAAACTTAATAATATTGAATGAAATAAACTAATTGCAAAATTTAATGTAATCAATCTCACAGAAGTAAATGAAATAAATCAAGTTATACTAAATTAAACCAGTTATCGACTAGAAAGTGTAAACTGTGGGCCGTCAAAATAGATAATGATTCCAACAATATCTGAATCGCTGTACCATTTTAAAATATCAAGTTCATAACTACTACATTTGTTGTAATATTAAAAATAGTACTTTATCTTAATATTGATATGAAAGATGATAGATACTACAATACAATTTATACACTACTCCTAGACTGAAGGGTAATACAACTGGGTATAGTAGATCATGATAACAGATATAAAATAATCAGACGACTAGAATAGATCATGTTGTACACACATACATAATTCTAATCAACGATTGGGATAATGAAAATTAAAGAGTAGATAAAATATCTTTCTAGACCAAAGTATGTATTCGAAGTAAATAATTGATTATCATACATGAAAAGGTAAGAATTAGTAAAACTTTAAAGTTACAGTGAATAATAAATCCGATAAGTTTTATATTCATAAACCATCATTTATAAATGTTTATGATAATTTATATCTAACCAACTGAAACAAATAAGCATTATTGAATTGAGTAAATAGAGTTTATTCTCAACCAAGGTATCGAAATTGTTTAAAAAAGGAAGATTTTTGTAGCTGGTATAGACTTCATACAAATGAAGAAGATTATAGTGGATAATAAAAGTCAGTATGATGGATTACATCATTACATTAGTAAAAAGAGATGGTAGAATTATTTTCAATCTAACTATACGCAAGATACTCAACGTCCGTTGACCGGATACAATCAACAACAGCTTATCGTGGAAGAGAACAAACCAACTTCCAGATGAAGGGAAAATTAGGAAAAGACGTTGGAACTGAATGGGATAAACATTGCGGAAATCATCGAATTGCCTTAAAAGGCAGGCACTAACTTGGAATCTTGAAGGGAAAAAGAAAAGTGGAAGAACAAAGGACACACTGGGTTGGGAATCGGCAGCAGATATCAAAAGGATGGATAGTAAATGTAAAGGATTGCCCAGGATAGAGTTCGATGGAGAATGGTGTTGAATGGCCTATGCTCCTCCACGAGGGGTAACAGGCATAAGTACGTATAGGAAAGATAACAACTATGACCAATCACCTTATTTAACTGTGAATTAGTTTAAAGAAAAATATTTACAGTAGCACTTCAAGAACTATGTTTATAAGTCAACGACAGAGAGTGGGAGGGAGAAAAAAACAACCTACCTTAGGTCAACAGACACAACAAACTAACATTACTCATTAAAGTACGTTCAAGCGATATCTTGAGCTTGACAAAACTCGACTTAATGTTGCTCATCAGCTTTTACAATATCACAATTAGATTGGATTAATCAGACAAAGACGAAAAGACACTAGTCTATGATTAATCATTCATTACAATAAGAAAAACAGACCCATTTCAAATTTAAAATAATTAGTCCCTTTGATAAATTTCGATAATGCAATGAGAAGACGAAGTTTATCAGAATTATGTGACCCATTTCAGCATATTGGTATCATTTAAAAGTGAGTGTACGTTTGAAACACTAAAAGTAAGACATCAACTTCTATAGTGTGGTAATTTTAAAAGTAATAATCACCTGACTGCCCGGAAAATTTTATTCTTTGCGTATATATATATATATATATATATATATATATATATATCGATAAGAAGAAACGTACATGAGTTATTATTCACTCAGTACTTTTACAACACAATATATAAAAATTAAAAATATATATCTAAACATCTTACATTAATTAAATGGAAAACGTGAGAGATCAATACTTCCATTTTAAACCCATTCTATAGGGTAGTAAACAAGTTATAAAATACAACCGTGAATTTCACAATTTGGAGACCAAAGAAAAACTACACCTTTCTTTAGAATATTCTATGAAGAATAACCTAGGAAACTGTTATATAATTATGAATTTTAATACTGAAGTGAATTGAACTCAAGATGAAATACACAGAAAACTTATTTTCATCCACAAATATATATAAAGTTATTCAACATAAAACCATAATTTACACAAAAAAATACTATCACTGTTACCAACCATTGTCGCCATTCGTGCACGAACTAAACGACAGAATGCCAGTAAAGGTAAATGTGTAATTAAAGCTTCTGAAATATCTGAATGACTTTGTAAAAATTGACTGAAATCATGCTGTAGATCAGGCATATCATATAAGACAGTAAATTTAAAACTTTCAATTAAATTATTTGATGCATATGACGACATATGTGGAGGTATACAAAGGGGTGTACGCACAAGGCGTTCTAAAGCAGGAGTTAGACGATCTGGACATTCAGGATGAATACTTGAATCATGAGCATTGGGACACAGACATTTGTGTTCAAGCATCTCTGGATCAAAGGCGACGGCAGTTACTAAACTGTGATTTGGGATGCTAACGAACAGAGACAAAAGAAAAGCATGCTGTAGTATCAAAAATTTATATTTATACGCTAATCTAAGTACTAAAATACAAATCATGATGTCCCAGAGACTAGCGGATACGTTTCTAAATACATTATTTTTCAGTTTTATCTATTTCAAACTAATCAATGGAAAAGAACAGTGCCATAATAAATGATAAGAGTTTACCTAAATAAAAGTACGAGAGAGGATAAGTTGTATACTTTAGAACTTTCACACTATTTTTTCCTTTTCAATCATTTTGAACAAATTCTCAAGTTCAGAATTGAATTCAAATTCTTCACAGAATTTAAAGTTCAAATTCACATTGAATACCAAAACAGCACTATTTGACATTAACATTTACGTTGTTTTCATTGTAAACTAAATGAACACAATAAACAATAAAGGTAAGTCATTATAAATAATTTTAGGCTGAGGTTTTCGGCAACATTTTCACTGTTCCTTAAGTGGATCGTGGTCAGCACTGTATATTAGAGAATAATTTTCATTAAAGATTTCATATGAAGCTCAATCTTTTACTTATATTCACTTTTTTCATCCGGTACATCGGTCAGTGAGATACTGCATGTGTAGTCCATACCAGACGTTTGTGGATAACTACAGTCCAATTTTTATAAGTTGTAACTTCTTATTGAAATTTTATCCAAATATAATTTGATCAAACTTTATTACAAGTGGGACATTTTGGGATATAAACAAAATCGAAATGGGGTCTTTAAAATATTCATGAAACACAAATTTTAGATTGTCTTTAATAAATTTTATCAAGTAACGTGGTTGGAACCATCACATACGAAACATCTGATAAAATATAGAACAATTTTTTTCACTTAGTTGACTGGGAGTTTATAATATAGAAACTTGATATGATTGACAATGCTATCTATGAGAAGACGGAGTTGCTCTATAGAAATTTATAAAAGGGACTAATTGCTTTAGATTTTATCTATGTAAGTGTTAAAAAGAAATATATTTTTTATGTGAAAAAATAATCGTGATGGAGTAGACAGAATGCTCAGATTCTAAGTAACTTCTACCAACTTTGCATTTCAATAAAAATAAACAATATTTTACAAACCACTGGGCGATAATTCAAAACAATGATGAAGTATTTACAACATACTCGAGAAGAACATACATATATCCATAATTGGTTCTGGAAATTAGCGAAATACAGAATTCTGTCTTGTATATTAGAATTGGCATCAACAGATTGTAAGAAATCGGGACACGATAACAAGTAGTTTGAAAAATGACAATTCAGTAGTACAGATAGCTACTTGTAAGGGTTTACATTCAGTCAGTCAGCTACAACGTAGGATCAGGCACATTTATGCATCGGTCCAAGTTGCCATACCTCGTTAGCACAACAAGATCAACACCGGATTCATAGTAGTTAATTTAGTGGTGGTGGAAGTATATAAATTATAGGTTGTATATAAGGATATAGTATAGGAAGGAAGAATGCTATGAAGCAATTTTAATCTCAAGGTGTAAGGGAAGATAAAGAGTGTATACACCTACGCCATTGTGATCGATTCTGAGCCATGCCACCTAGAGTCTCTAACCATTGGTTACGATAGTCACGCGGACCCCAATCAGGTAGTCTGCATCAGCCAACATGGCTTAGATTAGAAGATAGTGTCTTCAAGCACTGATGACACGTTTTGGTTTGGCCGCTCCTAACTCTCTTCCAACCATCGCCAATACTAGTCAGAATAGCGCGTCGTGGTAATCAGTGTTTAGGCATACGTAACACGTGGGCCAACCATCTCAGTCGATGAAGATTCATAACCTCATCAACTGATATACTACCATTCTAACACACACACCTTATTGATACACAAATATGAAGAACAAGTTACAATTTTATAAAAATAGAAACAAATAAATCTTCGACAGCCGCTCAAAAAAAGGAAAGAAGCAAAAAAGCAGTCGAACTAACTTGGGATAACAAGTTGTTTTCATGTCTGCACGATAACTCTGAGGAAGCCAATCACTTTCCGGTAGAGCAGACCAAATATCTGATGCTAATTTATGAGATTGATAATATATTTCTGATGAATTATTGTCATAATTATTTTTGGCGCTATTGACAATAGGATTAGAGGATGTAGCATTATCGACGTCATCATCATCACCACACTTTCTGTCATTACCTCCACAATCATCATCTATATCTGTAGATATATTTTGTTGAGTAAGTGGATTCAACACTGAATTGTAAATCAAGTTAGATTTAGTACAGTTTGGTGATGATTGACTTTCCCAATCCATTTGACTTGATACACACAAGGAATGAGATTTATTTATTGAATTTCTATGCTGAGATTCAACAACGTTTGACTGGACTGAAATTGTAGATGATGCTTCCTGGCAAAGTTTTACAAGTGCTGACAATGCTGTTTTTAAAGTTGTATTTTTCATAAATATATAAACAAGAAGAGGGTAATAGGAAAAAACTTAATTAATTGTATGAGAAGGAAAGTTTATTTTACGTTATTATTGGAACGAATACTTGTATTTAGACTGTTGTACTTTTTTCTTTTTGCCCGAAATTTTTTAAGAATATCTTGTCCTACTGAGTGAAAAAAACTTCCTTAAAAGTGAAAATCGATTTAGAGTAACACACGAACAGATAGAAATATTTTACGTATAGAAATAAATTATGTCCTAACGAAATCCGACTTAAATCCTAATTCACTTCATCAAGAGAAATTGGCTAGTATCTACAAGTTCAAAATCGATTACACACACCTGTTACCTGGTAAATGAGTTACACTAATTAGTTAAGACCAGTATATGACACTGTAAGACAGGTTTGATATAATTATAATCAATTTCTTTATACGTGTAATAGATAGACAATCACATGATCTGTTAACTTCATTAACATAAAATGAGAATTTCTCTTGGAAAGAATGCAACCAATATATTTAGTGAAACAAAGAAAAAATTCTTTTTTTTTTAAATTCATACGTTAAGGATTTAGTTACTAATTTGTTTACATATAGACTTTCATATAAAATTTCCAATGATCACACCACGATAGAAAAAAAAGTTTCATAATATAATTACAATTGTCTCTCGATATTGTTAAGAAACGTATGAATTCAACTGATTTGAGCATGTCGGCAATCTAATTATCACTATAAATATACAAGCTTTATGAGATTTTTTCATAGATGTATCTATCAATTAACTAAATAACTATTGTCATACAGGTAATTATGGATATTAGTAATAAGGCAGGGGGTTTCTGCACTAAAACATAAGACATGATTATCAGATTAAGACTGGAGATAGTAAATGCCCATTACAGTAGGCAGAGTGAAGTTTGAAGTTCTTTGAACAGCTAATATACATATAAACATGTTAAGGGGTGGAGAAAAGGATAAGTGTCGATAAGATAGTGCATTGCGAACAATCATTTAATCAACAATCCTAACACTATGCTCTTCCCAATTTACAAATAATAAATATTTTGGTATTTTGAGTTCGCTGAAACGGACAGTTAAGTTGTGAAGCTTTCATTGTTGCTCCGGAAAACATTATCAGCGCCTATATGACGTAGACGAATACAGAAACTTACGAATGCGAACAATAGCAGTGCAAAAGCATGCGAAACCATAATTAGTCAACTAGGGTATTGTAAAAAATTACAATTTGTACTGAGATATTCATATATCATAAAGACAATTAAGAATTATACAGTGGTACAGAAATTTCTGAAGAGGGATAGAAAATATTATCTTATGGGGATAAAATTAACAGCTAAAATTAGAAGCTACTGAGTTGTCTCTGATATACGGCAACGACTCAGATTTAATGAATTGTACTGTATTAGGAATGATGATCATAAAAACGTGTTCCTCTAATTTATTTTGCTTATCATTTAAATTAATGAATAATACAGAGCAGTACGAAAAGCAGTGGCTTAGTAATTAAGGCGTTCAAGTTTTAAGCACTAAGTCCTTAGTTCGAAGCCCACTTCATCTACTCCCGTCTGAGGATCCAGGTAGTATCATTAGCTCTCACACTTAGTGTGGCTTATGCCTAAGTACCTGGTGAATGAGTTCATTTAAACTGATGAAGAGCATGGGAGTGAAGAATATTAGTTGAAAAATGTTTTTGTATTTAATCAAAGATTGAATAGTAAACGCTAGATACTGTGATTAAACTTTTCCTCAATACATATTGAATTCACGTCTAGAAGTCATAAATTCAAAATCAGAAGGCAAAAGCATGGAAAAACAATTTTAAAGGAAATGAAAATGTAATTGCTATATACCTTCATGATAATTCACATTGGCACCGAATTCGGAGAAAGGAAGGTATCCTTCAAGCTGCGTTGAATCATATTCACGATAATGAACTCTTTGTGATTGATAGTGAGAATCTGCATCATTTCTCAACTTCCATAATTAAATAAGAGCAAAGAAAAAGAGGCAGAGACAAATAATACAGATCGAAATTATATGGATATAAACAATGAGCACATTATGATTGAAAGTAACCACAGGTGTCGTATATAACATGAGGATCATGGGAATATCGTGGATTCAACGGCTTGTGACGTATAACCCTTGGGTTTACATATTCGTTACACACAAAAATCTTATAATCCAATTTTAATGTTATAAATTAGTATTTATTTTTTCGAAATTTGATGTTAAAAATGCCATCCAACTGCTCAAAACATAGTTGACAAAGCGTTACGCAAATCTGTAGCATAACAGTGCATAAACTACGGGAGAGCCACCTACAAATAAGCATGTATATGCATGAAAACAAAAGTACAGTACCTATAAATAAAGTAAATTGTCATACAATAAGGAAACTCAATTTATCCACAGAATTAAATAAATACATTTAGTTGGAAAAATCAATAATCATTATATGAGACAGTAAAATATTAGTGAAGAGACCTTGATTACTTTCCAAGTTAATTTTCATCACTAGCTCACAATATTTGGCAAATTTTTGAAATCAGTTTATAGAAAGACCATAAGTCTGTAGTGCTGAAAAAACGAAAACGAAGACAAAGCAGTTGTCTGATTGACTATGATTTACAATGTTCATTGAACTGATGATAATTGTTGATGTAAATTACCTACGAGACATTCGAAACTATATGAACGATCTATAGACAATGAACTGTAAGAAATTACTAGTATGAAATGGTGGTAATACACGACAAAGACAATATACATCAGTGAATTACCTTTCGCAAAACTACAGTTAGAACAAATAATTGTTAAAGTAACTTTAATATGGTTTAGCCCTTAGATTTGTTTATTATCGTACAAAATAACGTAGACATTATATGATCTAATGAATTACAACGCAAACAATATAGCACGAAAGAAAGTTCAACATCACTGGTGATAATAATATTACTACAGATATGGTGGAATTCTTCAGAACATGGGTAATTATGAATATTGGCAGGTTGAATAAAATTGGTGACGTTTTTCTAGAACCGTGTAATGTGAGACAAACACAGATATTCTTTGTGCAATATCGATAAGCACAATTGCTGACTAAACAAACACGAACATAAGGTGATATATATTACATAGTGTAGAGCGTTAGATTTCATTGTCTTAGTAGACACATCGGCATTCAGATAATGTACATATATCACATAAAGAACTATGAAGTCAGTTAGTTATGCCGCAGAAACCTCTTGAATTTGATAATAAGAAAAGCACAAGACACAAAAACGTTCAAATATACGAGATCTCCATGTACTATTAAACATAAGTAATAATTACTGCACTTGTCATTACCTAGATGTGATGTGATAGAAGGCGACCTGTTTGAACATCTGGGCTACCTGTTCCTGCTATCTAGATATTTCAACAAGTTATCTAATTTTGTTTGTTTTAATACATCATCATGTCAGTCAATTCTGAAAAGTGTACAAATTTTCGTTATAAAAGTTACAAAGGCCCAATAAAAAATACCGTGGCTGCTGGCAATATGCAGCGAAAAGAATGTACATTATTTAGATGTCGATTTACTGGACTGCTAACTTCTAACTGGAGGATCAATCAAGAAGTAAGAAACGGAAACTTGTTGAAATAAATTGTGCTGAGAATTTTATATTGTGCCAAAAATATAATATTGAATAAAGCTAATGATAATAATAATATTTTGATTTATATGCTTTACAACGGAACTATACCTTCATTTTTATAAGTGTATGGGCACACTACAGGTTATATACAATTTTCATCCATTGCAAAATGCAGTAACAAATTAAAATTGAACATTAGCCTATAAATATTAATTCTACCTATTTATAATCTCTGATAATCTATAAAAACGATTTTCTATTGCCAACTGGATTTGAAATTTTAGAAGAGATTTAACAATTTTTTTTTCTGTCAAGCATCCAAACTTATGCTGTCCCCCCCCCTAAATGCTAAGCAGTCAACTAGTATCCCAAATATAGATATTACCACTGATCTATTTATACTTCAAATGACCCTAGTGTATAACTAAGACATTGTTGATATGAATCGATAACCATACAGTAAATAATGCTGCAATATTATTTTCAAACTGAAAACTGATAGAATATTATCTAGTTTAAATCTTTTCTCTTCTTTTGACTGTATTTTTAAAGCTGTCTAATAATACTCTTTACATTTTAATAAATGAATCAAATAACTAAATAAATTATAGTATACAGTGCATGCTATAAAGTGAAAAAAGTTATTTATATAAGGAATGTACTTTTTTTATTATTTAAACTTTGAAAATATGTAAATTATTTATTTCGAAATGTGAATTCTTCGTGTGTGTGTGTGTGTGTAGGCGATTTCAGACATCTTGACGGTCAAATAGAATACATATATTTATACATAATTCATATTTTAAAAATAAAAAGGTTTACCATGTATTGAAATAATACTAAAAAAATTTTTTATACGAATTTATAGTTGAAAATGATAATTAATGAGGTTTAAAACAAAATATAATATCCTTTGTGGAATAACTCACTAACTAAAACACAATCTCATACTCCAGATAAGAAATTATAAATATTGACCATTAGTAACGCCACCATATGCCCTGGTACGGCCGAGAGTGGGGAGAGTCACCTCTCCCTCTCGAAATGCTCACACATGGTCACGCGTATATAACATCTGCTAGGGAAGTCCTACTCACTGCCTTCTCGTGGCATTACTAATGTTTACGAAATTGAGTAGACGAAATGCGAATGTCCGGCGCTTTAACCGGGTCGGTGGACAAGGCGAGTCCACCTAGGGGAGTTGGAAAACCCTGATTCCAAACCAATGGTGCACATGGGCTCCAGTATCCTGAGGGAACAAATGGCGTATGAACCAATTGTTGGTCACCGGCTACCATGAGACTGCATCTCCTTACGATGCTCCACTGCCTTGTGGATCAGATCTTTAGGTCAAAGGCTCGAGGTGTGGCCCCCTAAAAAAACACCTGCTTCGGTTTGGGCACCCAGGAGGTATCACAGCCCCCACACAAATCAAATGAGATTTGTGTGGCGCATATGTAATAATAAAGTATAACAGGAGCTTTGCTAGTCAAACGTCATAAAGTTAATGCATTTCACACTCAAACTAAAACTCTTATATACAAGGAAGGATTAACAGAAGGTTGAAATTGAAGTGCTACACAGTAATTATTAAACAGAATAAAATACTAATGCAGGATAACAATTTTATGGGATACGTAAATAGCTGTTCTTATACAGTTGTGATAACATAAATAAGAAGAGAGTTAGCAATACAAATGATAGTTTAATCGATTAGTGAAGCATGCTAATTGTTAAGTGAATTATTTATATAAGTATTTATTAGATGTAAACTTTTGAGAGGCTTATGTAAATATGTAATGAAAATAATATCACGTATAAACCTTCAATATTCAAAAGTTACATAGATTGTCAAGAGAATAAATCTACTTACCGATCAACACTGATACCAGTTATATTTGTTCAATTAAAGTGTTCCTGGTGTTATTATCCATATCGGGCACTGATATACTTAAGGTTAGTTAAGTTCCAGGTTTTCTCTTTAATATGTTTCAAGACTTCAGCTATCAAACATTTTAAATCAATTAGTCCTTAATTGTGTAGTAGTGATTTATTTATCGTTCAACTGGTTTATTTCAAATGCAGACCTGGTTTCAAATAATACGGTTTGGACTACCGGAAAGTATTACCATTCCTCCCACAAACGATGTGTCGCAAATCCGAAAGTATGAACTTGTACTTACAAAATAAATCATATTAAACTTCTAAACTGATAATCACATGAACAGTTACCATTGACTTGGACATGTTTCTCATACTAAATTTATTAAAGAAGGGATGACACTATTCACATTTAAACCGTCGATTTTCAAGCAATAAAAATTGCTAGACATTTCGGCTTATTGAAATACTTAACACCATACCTAAAAGGTGATCTACAATCATGTGACTTACATATAACGAAACAAACAAATAATGAATTTGCTAAGGACTTCCGACTTCTAATTTTATGAGTTATATTAAAAGGTTAGTTTATATTACCTAAGAAAAAAAGATTATATAAATGATGATCAGTGTAAAAACCGCTTTTAAATAACACGTATAATTCCAAGTGACTAGTATCCGATATTATCATGGCAACGACAATTCTACGTATACATACCATAAAAATCTTGGAAAATGGTAAATAGAAAAGCAAATTAAGTATTTGAATAAATGAATAAATTATTTCTTTATACACAAAGATAATTGATAGAAGTTAGGAATTACTGAAACGTGATGTAGAGTTTCATTAAAGTGTATCGAAAGATAGATCAATTGTTTAAATAATTGAAGCTTGTTTGTAATACATTTATCAAGTAGAGATCTGTATGAATAGATTGAATTATAAATTTTGTAATGACGGCTAAACAAATTATTCGTGATACGTTCATGAGGGTTTTCGTTCGAAAATAATGTAGAAAATGATTGATTAAGGTTGACATGGAAAGAAAACACATACATTGCATTCAAATTCAATTTAAAAACTGCTAATGAACTATATATTTGAAGATCTATAAGGTATGCTTTAAGTAACTCAGATTATTACTGTTAATTAACGAGTAAACAGTTTACAACTAAGTTTACATAAACAACAAAAGCTCACTATCAGTGATAGTATAGTATTAATATGACTCTAAAGATAATTATTGAACTGCTCCTGTTTATGTTTCAGCCCTCCAAGTATTTCACTCTTTAAACTCAAACTGAAATGCAGTAACACTGTTTTCTATTCTTTCTCAATTGCTCTTATCAGCCCATAAGTGTAAAATTCTGTACACATTCACAATACTTGATTAAAATTCATACTACTAAAAAACTATGTTAGTAGTGCGACTACCCGAATTACAGGCAAGTTCACAATGGACTAATCTAAAAGTTGCATATGACAAAGGCAGAGCAAGGTTAATGATATTTTACTAAGCTAGTACAGTAAGACTTTTCATATTAAAGTGTTTGTTTGTAACTAGGAGTGATATCAAACAACATTCAAGGTTGGGAAGACAATACAAAATCTGTATGGTTATATCATTGAAACTTAACACCAGTAATAAATATTAAATTACTATTTTCTAGGGATTAACATTTATTTATAATACAAGAGATGGTTATATATATATATATATATATATATATATATATATATATATATATATATATCATCAACTTATTAAATATTAGCCAGTCCAATTGCGATTCTGCATTATCTAGATACTCATCAATAAAGTGTATCCACCACTCTTACAAGAGACATTTATTCAATACCAGATTTTAATCACTATCTCAAAGAATTTACTAGGGTACATGTAGAGCTCAAGTTGATCGACTATAACGTAGGACCAGATTTTCCAATATAAACAGCTATTATATATAAAACTACTCATCTATTCAGAAAATGAATAAATAAATTATTAGAATTTTACGACATTATACAGGTTTATTTACCAAATATATATCAGAGGCAGTAAAATAATCTTTCTCATTATAAAACTCAATACAGTCATCAATTTAAGTACCACTTATGGAAGGAGAATATTTTCAAGTGCTTTCAAAGAGATCACGACAATAAGTTGAATAAAGAGAGAGAGAAAAAAAGTACTCAGGGAAATTAAAAATAAAACCATACAAAAATGTATGTAATATTATTTCTGTCTAACAAGTATTCGCCTCAAAGTTATGAGTACATCTGTGAAATTTTAGTACAGAGATATTAATCTGAAAATTTACTCCAGATACCAATTTGAGACTACAAGTTAGTAGTTTTTAAAGTACATTATTTCAATAGGATGTCTACTGTTCATAATAAAGTTAGACGTCAGCAATTTAGGGAACAGACGTACAACAAACAAAGATTGGACTACATCACCCTAAAATCAGGGAACCAGATGTTATCGATAGTTGACATTGCTTACAGTCTCGCGGCATATCCAAGATAAAATGTAATCAATCATTTACCAAGTATGGATCAATGTATCCGACTTTGAATCACTGTTTTTTGAAAAGGAGGTTCAAACCTAAGAACTATTGATAAAAAGTTGAGAATCTTAACCATTAAGCCATCACTACATTGTATGCTTAACAGAGTCTAAGATGTCGCTGGTAAGTTTACAATCAAGACATATTATCACAGACACATTACATAATTAATTATCTGCAACAAAAAAACAAGGATACCTAGTAGAGAATACAGTAGTTTGAAGCACAAACACATCTGAATAAGACCGACGCAATAACCTCGTGAAAACGACCAGTATTGGAATTGGTGTGTTTAAATTTGAAAATTCGACAAAATTCAAAAGTCCACAGAATTAAAGTGATCAGAAGTATAAATATGATGGAGTTATTAAAAAACCCTTACCTCTTCCAAATTTATTGATGACGTCCTTTTTATTTGTTGTCTAGACTGACTAATTATTCTAAGCAATGCAATCATTGTTTGTATTTGTTCATTTGTTAAACGACCATTATATTTAGAGACTAAGTGATAATTTAGTTGTTCTAAATATTGATTGGATTTTGTTAGTTCTGTAGAGTCCGGTTCTCGCTCACTAGCAACAGTGCTACCCAGAACAATACCAATATCCCCACGTTCTTTGTTTAACTCTTTTATATTTGCAGAATTGAAAGACGGTATATTACTAGATTGAGAAAGTGATGATGAATGAGAGATATGTTCTAAATTCGATGAAAGACATGTAGATTTTATGGAAGCGTTGAAATCTGCTAATTTTCTCTGCATATCCAAATCTAGTGAGTGATGCTGATGTGCGAGTAGATTGTCATCACCTAGTGTAAGTAAAAAAAGACAGAACAGATTAGAAGGTAGGCGACAATCGGTGATGAATAAAGAAATAAATCAATAGACCTAGAGTTAATTTTCGCTACAGATTTCAATAATACGAAGAACTATTGACAAGCAAAGGGAACTGAACAGTTGTCTTATACTAATTTAATCTGAGGAGTTTCCCCCAAACCTCCGACTTCAATAATAATCATATCCGCGCTAATAACTAGCTAGGAGGTGAATTATAAACGTTTTAGTGATAAACCATGACCGGTGTAATTGAGTTATGTTGAAAGTTAGTAAGTTGTTAACGGTAACACAAGGTTATATCAACTAATTCCAAAACATGTGCTTAGTCTAATAAATAAAAAAGAAACACTAGTGCATGAGCTGGATTACATTTCATTTTTTTAATGATCGATATACTCAAATTATCATTATCGATGCTTCACTATTGTTTTTATGAGTTGATGGTTTGAGATATAAGCCCTTGTTAAACCAGAATAGTACCTCGATCTGTTACATTACAAACATGGCTCAAAATCCAGTAAAACAGACCTATACGTAGAATTCCATTAAACTATGACATTAGATTAACATACACAGGACAGAAAAATGGTATTATGATTTCACTATTAATGTTGTAGGTAGACCCAAAGGTGAAGTCCTATTTTGTGAAAGATTTTTGGGAAATCCGAAGAATTCCTTAAAAAAAGCCCACACGGGAGACCCTGAAAACGCTAGGAAAAATTTATCCAATCAGTGTTGAATATAAGTATCAAAGAAACATCTAAAAAGTGAAGAGTCACGTGTCACATTTCTGACTGGATGATTATCTATCCTGCTACTGTGTTAAATATGGCCCCAGAATCTTCCAGAAGCCCAAGACCATCTGGAATAATATAAATACCCTCTGTTTTCTGTACATAAACTAACCTACACATAGGTCCGGGACATAAGACAAAAGGCTGGTAGTTTGAAAAGCTTTACTTCCAAGGTTAGTTCAGACACATAAGTGTTTTCTTTATTTTACTTACACAAGAATATTTTCAGGTTTACTCCTGGCTTTGACATTCTTGGAGCATCTAGAGTCATGCTATCATCAATAACAAAATTTATAATTATCCAATTACAATGTAATACAGATTTTATTGTTTTTCTAGAACGCACTAGAGAGCTTCTACTGAACGCCAATCTAAAGAAGTATTTTTAGACTCTTTTCAGCTTCTGAAGACTTTACTGAGGGTCACTAACAGCAACCACATCAGTTTGTACTTTAAGAAGCCTTTACGCTGACTTGGCCTAAAAATGGTATGGCATGTCTTCGATTCAGTGCCAATCAGTGGACATTGTAACTTAATATTAAGTTGTGACTTATTTGTCAATTAAAGGTTCATCGACTTAGCTTGAAGTTACACTGTGTGAGGGCTAGTGATACTACTCAGTTGTCAAAACCGAATTCAGTAAAGCTGAATTTAAATTAGCGAATTACTAGTTGCAACCCGAATACTTTAACCAATAACCACCTGTACAATCTTTATAATTATAAGTAGAAATCTATTCATTTTCCTTATCTTCCATCAACGTTCAGGATGTGTTTGAATTTTTTTTTCTGAATGACCTGATCGACTTTGTCACACCTGTTTAAATATTGATAAGTTTATTTTGGAAACAAACTGACTACTAATCGTCATGTTATACTTATTTTTTTCATAGCTTTGTACTGACCTTGATTCATTAGTGTTACGGGAAGCACTGAAATAAGATGTCTTGCTGAATTGCTCTCATATCTTTATTGTTGTTATATCTTCCGAGAAGCCTAATAATATAGACAAAATTTCAGATATATTCTTTTATTATTTAAACACACATAGTGTAAATCAACTTCATGGGAGTGACTACAAAAGTGGTATCTTATTAAACCGAGGACTGGTAAAATCCCATACAGTTCAGAAGTAGAAGCAAACTGGGTTTGAAAGATTACGTCAACAAGGAAGAAGAAACATTAATTAAGCAATTAATTAGTATGTGATAAAATATGTGAACTTGTATAGAACCGTTTCGTGCATTGTTGGAATTACAAAGGCTAAATTAATAATGTTTGTAACCAATACCGAGTTACTATGGCCCATCCGACAGTGTTTTATTGGTGAAAAAAACACTAGACCTTATTGCTCTAAACGTTTACTAGAAAGCACGAGAATTTCATCAAGGGACATTCGAATATACTTTACTTGTATGGGTGTGAATCTTCCTGTTGTGGATGTTATGAACTGTAGCTGGTCAGTGTATTTTTGGCATGCATGCATTCTGAGCCGATTGTCTCTACATTGCCATTGATTCATAAACATTTTTAAACAAAGGTTATGAGTGATATCTAGGATGCGTGTTTTGTCCCAAATAGAATTCCAAGCCTAGATACTATTCAAACTTTGCTGAAAACAAATGAATGTATGTTTTGTAATGTGGCCTGCATATTTACCGACAAGATCCTTCGATATCTCTTTTTATCATAAAACCAAACTATCTAGTTAGTATTGGAAAACTGCCACGTGAAACGTAATAGAATCCTAACCAAAGTTGATGAAAGAAATAGCTTACGAACCGAGGAATTAATGAGAGAAAAAAATCACTAGATCTCCATAATGACAGTTAACATTATATTCTAAAAATATAACATTTTTACAAGGTTATATACATTGAAGCTCATATGTTTATTATTGTTAAAAATGAGAATTTTTTTTTCTATCATTCTCATATTTTTTCTATTATTATGTATAAATTTTGAGCAAAGTAACAATCAATTTTCGGCTGCTTAAAATAAACTTTTAGATTTATTATATTATTTTATATTTGCACTCAATATATTAAAAGTGAATTTGGATATGTCGATCATGTGTTTAATTACCAATTATTTACGTATGATCCCTTCTATTATATGATACACAGTGAAGTATACATTAGGAGAATGAATATAAAATAGATAGAAAGGTCAACTATAAGAATTTTGCATGAAAATCGCATCAATTCAAACTGCCATAGAAAGAGAGAATCCACATGAATGAAAAGATATTGAAGTAAAACAAAGAGATGGATGATGATGATGACAGTAGAGGAAAAATGGTAAAAACGGTAGTGACAATAGAGAATAAGCTGTTTAATTCTATTGTTCATTAGTATTATATCTTCTCTATTCATATTTTATGGAGAACGATCGAGAATTAATTCACTAGTTCGATGCCCTTTTGGTCCTATCATATAATCCGAAGTTATAAGTAAAGAATATGTATTGACTAAAACCAGATATGCATTTAACACTGTGACTAACCAGAATCATACTTATTTGAAAATATATCTTTTTGAAGAAAATAGTTGTAGATGATCATTTTTAGAATGTTATTACTGTATTTCTTTTCTCTGGATAATTTATGTTGGCCTCAGATCACAGATGAGGGATTATTTTGAAGCAGAAATAAGTTTACTGTCATTTTGTTTAAAAAACTATCAGATTACAATGTTTGATATGAGCTTCTATTTAGAAAGTTGAAATTGCATATTGAATCCGACTCCATGTTACCGATTTATAGAATAGATTTATTTTACCTCTACTTTCAAAGATTAACTCTACTGACATGTATCTCATTAGTTAGATCTTATGTATGGGTGTACTGTGAAAACCTTAGTTTTCTCTGTATCCATCTGCATAAAATAATCAACCCTCAGTGATCATTCATTTACTTTCACGTTTCTCGAGAACTGAAGATATTTGAAGATTATTTCATTTGAATACATAACCAACTTGTTCTCTTATTTAGAAATGACTTTAATGCATAATTATACAGTCTCCGTAGAGGTTGCTAATTCTAGATAATTTATGTACATACAGAAAAAGAGTTTGTAGATATTTCCTTTCCTAATTTAAGAAGGAATGCCCTCATCGAGTTGACTAGTAAGACCAATACACTGATAAAGTTCCTATCTATGAACTTGGACTCTGTTTAGATTCCATGGCATCATTTAAATCGTTTCATTTAAATAACAACAATCTTCCCTTGATAATATCATGCCTATTTATAACACTGTAGGTTTTACTGAGATCACTCTAATCTTGATGCTATAATCTTGTTTCGTTGTACTTATATCTCAGATACATCGCTTATGCTTAAAGTTCAGTGTTACCTGTGAAAATATCTAATAAGGAAAAACAGAAATATCTTTTGTGACTCAAAGGTTTATACAAATCAATTAGATTTTACAATTTCAACACATTCTGTTTTCACCACTACTTTTACAAAAATCCAGATGCCAATCGACATCGGCAAGCACCCATAATGATCTAATAATGTTAATATTTTCAGTATATCCCGCATTCACTGATTGCCGCTCTGTTAAGATATTTCCAGTTGTTAATTTTCGATAGCACTAACCGGACTTGAAGAACAAGAAATTTTACATCTCAAGCAAACTAAATCCTTACAAAACAAGATATTAAAAGAGTTACTTAAAATAAATTCCCACTTTGGGAGACCACTGCTCCGTTGACCACCAATAGGATAAAGAAAACTTCATTGATGAATTTCAATACAATTGTACAGAGTCGCCTCCAATTTAGGTTAGGTAAGAGATTACTATATTAAAACTAAATATGTCCATTTAAGTGAGGTTTTTTAGAAGTCAACAGTTTATTCGTATACAACAAAGTTTTTCTGTATTAGATTTTCATCTAGTTTAGAGCAACAACGAAAACTTCTCAATTAAACCACTCAACTCAGAAAATGCAACATCATCACAAGTAGGAAACTGCGCTTGTTAATGGTTTACATTAGGATAAATGATAATTAATAAATTTATTTAATGGAGTGTTAACTACTTAAAGTCGTCTTTGAACTATATATTTTACCGGTTCAAAATGTATTCCGCATATTTAAACTTTGAGAGTCAGACAGTAGTATAATTAGCTCCTATAAGAAAAGAGTGAATTAACTCGCACATATGAACACGTTATATATTCGAATAACAAGATGAGAAAGAATTTGTAAGTAGAAAACTAACATACCTAAATCCCACTCACTGAAAGAAGGTGAATCTGCACTATGCCAATGATCGACTATATGAGAAATTCCATGTTGACCTGAATCACCTCCTGGATGTTCTAAATTTTCATCGAAATCTGACTCAGTAAAGGGATTTTGCGATGAACCAGGTAATTTACCATCTGTTCTCCAATGTCTATTACTTAAAACACGACCACGACGACGATTAAGCAAGTAGGCTTTTAAACGTTGTTTGACCTGGTATCAATGAAACAAAAACTTGGATGAAACAAATGACTATTTGATTAAAATGTTGTTAACAAGTTACTTCAGTTAATGATTTAAATTTAATAGGTATTGGAATTAGCTTTAGAGTTTATGGAAAGATATTCGGTAATATGATAAATGCGCTTAGTAATTAATAATAATAGTACATCATCAAAAAAACAACGACACTGTTAACATCTTTCATCAGAGATATAATTACGAAATAAATTACGGAAATTTCTTCTGGATGGATAACATCGACCTGAACTTTTGAAATGCTAATAGTTCGGCAGCTTATGTGTTTTATCCTAACTCCTTATAAGTGCTTAAATCAGAACCGCTGTATGATTTTGAGAAACTTTTCAAAAAAGGATGATTGACGCGAGTTTACGAAGTAATTTGTAATTGAGTCCCATTCGGTTCTTGCCACCCAAGCAGGATAGTGTTCATCAGCTTGATTTGCGAGCGAGCACATGATAAAGTCGAGTTAATCAAGAACAAATTAATCTGGTGTAATATGTTAGCTTATTTTTGTTACGTTTTTAACAAGCGAATATAACGTTGTGTAGAAGGCTCTATTCAAATATCTCGATAACCTTTGAGAAAATATCATCGCCAGCATCTTCTTTGAATCCAAATTTCATTGAAAAAATTGTCCTCATGGCTAAAGAAGCATGTTCTGCCGTCGTTTTAGCTTGTAGATTTCGATCAACGAATATTAGAGAGTATTCGATCCCGAAAAGATACTTTAGAGATCACCTAATGTGATAATTGGAATCATGAACTGATCTAAGTTTGACCACCATTAAAACCTGAAAGCAGTGGATAGCCGTTTCGTGCCAGTATGAGACCCCTCATCAGTGCGTATCCAAGACCCGGGACGAGGGAATCGAACCCAGAAATTTTGGTCTAGCATGTGAACATCTAACCTCCAGACCATTAAGTCGACATCCAACGGTGAATTAAATCAATAGACAGCTGTAGTTTATGGTACGAAGTTATTCAAATCGTACTATTAATTGGACTGGAAAAAATTTCAGTCGACATTTATATATACGTATCTTCTTCATAGAAAGTATAGTTGAATAAAATTAGAACACTGTGATAAAGTGACTAGTACAGTAAGACCTAAATGCGCGTGAGTTTCTTGATTCGATAAGGTTTACATTGGTAAGATGGAAACTTTTTCTTTAAGGATATCAAGATAAAGTTTGATAATTCTTTAATATATACACTTATAGGCGATTACACATACAGATAATGAAACCATGGAGATATTGTAAATATACAAAACAATTAAACGATATGCGTTACAAACGACATCATATCCTCATTCTCGCATATTTTTCATATTTAAAATGCTGATTAATTTGCAATATCGTTATTAAAACGATAAAACTTCAGCCTTCTACATGTAGTAGGCGCTAATGATATTACCCAAAACAAAAAAGAAAGATCCCCAATGAAATCATCTGGCTCAGAGAATATAACACCACTAAAAACTTTAACCTGTTTTATCAAAGTGACAAGTTTGAGCAACCGCATGCCCCAGCTAAAAAGCTATGACGAAAACAGCTAAAAAATTAATGATACCACACATCAAATTACTCTTCATATATGAAAAATGCTACAACCAATTAAATTACTGCTTTCATTACACCACAGATAGTTCTAAAATTTTAAATTACTCGAGAAACCTTTGTTAGATGGAAAATACCTTTCTATTTTGTTATTGTTTCGAATACACAAGCCAATACATTTGGGATCAAGGAAAAACAAGATATACTTTTCATACAAAACCTGATTTTTGTTTAGGCGTAGTGAAAACCATTATTTAATCGTTGAAGTTATATTGAGACAGCAGATGGATGGTTCTAGCACGTTCTACATAAAGGCTTCTAGTGGCTCCGTATCGAAAAATGAGGCCGAGACTGGGACAGAGAAGTCAGTTACGTAACACTGCGGGATGAAGAGTAGTTGTATCAAGTTAATATCTGTTGGTTCCTCGTAACTGTAGTTTCAGATTTCATCAAACATATTTCGACGTCAAAGTCAGTGACCATCGATCATCCGGATATATGAATAAGAATTTAGCCGCATTGTTAAATCACCCAGGATCGCGAACAGCAAACATTAGAGAAAGGCAAATATAAACAAAGATAGTAGAATAGCGTATAATGTGTAGATGATCACTATTTAAAAGAATAGATATCTCTAAATCCGAGAATTGCTGTTGGTCTTCAGTTGGAGTCATTTAACTTATTAACAATTTCACAACGTTTAAAATTCATGATAAGAACTGAACTTAACTGTCGCTTCACAGTTAACATTAAATACTGGCCAGTTTTACTTATGTACAACCTTTTAGCCCTCAAAGATAAGTGATCCCATTTGTCATGAAACGGAAAGTCAGTTAGCACCAAGCTTATCAAGCCACAGAAACATGGAGGTTCGGAAATGAAATTTGTGAAATAGTTTCATACTTGTAGCAATTTTAACAACTAGTTTTAGTTTTCAACTATTACTTATTATAAACAAAAAACATGTCTATATGGGATAAATATGTACTATCATTTCGCATATTGTGCGTTGCACTGGCAAGTCGCAAAAATCTTATGAAACCTGTAATACGATCATTTACTTAGATGATGCATTGAGAAGGTAATTTTCACCAAAACTATTAGAATACAGTCCTGATAAAAATTATCTTCTCGTCGAATTATCAAAAATTATCACCATTGATGTCAGTAAAGTTTAAAACACTGTAGCTTTACTTGAGGGCTAGTGATCTTACACTCTAAAATATTATTGAGAACTAGACAGCTAGAATACTAACCTGTGTTGAAGAAAGACGACCTTCTCCTCCTTGATCAAAGGATACTTGACGTGATAGAAACGAGGAGCGAGAAGGGTTTGATGATATGCTTGCTGAATACTCTGAAGATGTTGGTAGTAGTTGGTGGTAAGAGGTACGTAGTGACAAACCATCTCCTGATCTGGTGGTTGTATATGTTCCGGTTGATGCACCTTTAGTAAATGGTGGATGAGTAATATGATGTTCCGCGCTGTTAGATAGTTCAACAAGAGAAGAAGTAGACTTCAGAGACCCAACCGTTCTATTGGATTCTCTTTGATCCATTCACACATAAGAATGGTTGAATATCTCTAATAGACAGTTAAGTCTGGTAACTGGTTGAAGTTACTGAAAAAGAAAAGTATATAAACTAAAGTGTGTCTTGAGAAATTTGAGCACACTGTCGCCTCAAAATCACCCAGAAAAATAAATTGGATGATATTGTAATATGTATGACAAACATTAAGACCAGAACCTAATATATTAAAGAGTAAAAATAACGATTTTATACATAACAAATGGTGTACAATGTTGCACATGTAGTTCCAGCAACAGATAACAAAACAAATAAATTTGAACTGTACAGACTAGTGGCGGAACAATGACATGGATACTGATTAGTAAATGAAGGTCTCCTACAGTAAGATCCTTCTAAAAAATATTTTTTGATGTTAGGAACATAATCTAAGAAGAGTTTAATTAAAGGTTGTGATGCATAGTTAGACAGAAAATAAGGAAAACATAGATATGTATATTCAGAGGAAATTCGAGGTTACGATATATTGATGACCTCAGACAACGCTAAGAATTCAGGCTGTTTTTTTAACTAATATGTGAACAGGTCATCAAAATAAAGTCTGTTGACAGAAATGGAATGAAACAGCAATATATATGGTCTACGAGTTTTCACAAGGTTCATAATGAATTCGATTTATCTTTAAACAGGCTACTTTGGTGACAAAGGCCCACTCATTCAAGAAATCAGTTATTACACAAGTCTTTTACTAAGCCGAAAATACATTTATTAACAATTCCGTAGTTTCTGCAATATTTGTGTTAAAACCTAATGACACTTGAAAGATCGTGTTATTAGATCATTGTCCGAGAACCACAAAAATAAAGATCCTAATAATACCAAGGAGTTGTCTTAAACAGGGGTATGTTACCCAATAAATTAGTAATATCATCAACTGGTTTATAGCTTGGTTGAAAGCAAAAGAATTCTCAATAAATTATTCTAGGCCAATTCTACATCAGAAAACGTTGGAGTTTTGCGTAAATTTATACCACATTATTCGTATTGAAAGGTAGGATGACAGATGTTTTCTTATTATTCGCCTTTTAAGCAACAAAAACGGATATCTTCTACAAAGCTTATCATGAAATAAACGCTAACTGGCATTGCTTTTGGAATTTCATACAAAAAGCTCTTGGTGATGAGTGGTTAGTTATTATAGCTATAATCCTTCAATAAATTTGCGAACAACTGATTTTAAACATTCAGCGAAGTACGGAAATAAAGTTGGTTACAAATGATTAAGGATCCATTAAGTAAACACTAACCCATGTTAAAGATTCACAGATACAGATAACATATAAAATCTGACTAACAGAGATTTTAGGTAGACTAACCGCCACACCTAGTTTACTTCTCATATGAAGCTGAAGAACGTATGTCGTAATTTACACATGGGACAACACACATTTAGGCCTAATTTTCACTAAGAGGTATCCAATTGGTATGTACGGAATCCAATCGATCAATGAAAATTCAGTCGTGAAGTACTGAAAATTAAAACTCAGCAGTAGAAAAGATACAGAACTCAGTGACTATATTATTCCTATTAGAAAGATATAAAGAGTAAAGTTAAACAATAAGGGTAAGCTAATAATGAAAGTGTGAATTGCTCTAAGGTTATGGAACACTAAAAAAGAATGTTGTTTACCAAACGTAAAATGGATGGTCTCAAAATAATTTCATTCATAAAAACATCTGGACTTATTTAAAAACCAATTGATGGCTAAAAAACATAATAGTTTGTGACCGTGGTGCTGAAACGGGTATCTATGAAAACAATGGCAATTGAGATGAACCCATATTTTGTTGTAATGACCGCTGGTCTAAAGAACCCCATTTTTGTCCATTCCATTTTAACGCTAGGGTTATTGATGTTATTTGTCGTGTATCAGATGATAAGCACTCACGTTAAAGCAACATCAGGGGTAACCACCGTTTGGAGAAATCTGCTATTCACTGACAAATACTTTAGAGGTATTTGTTTGGAAAATTATTGAGTCCTTGACATTTCGGGGTGTCGGGAAAGTAGTTGAAATAAATGAAACTGCTTTATAGAGAACGAAGCATAACATGGGAAGAAAAGTGAATTAGGACTAAGTAGTTGAGTTATTAAACTGTAGTAGGCGTTTGTGATCTGGAATACAAAACCTAAAGGGGACATTTCGAGAAGATTCGTGATCATCCGGCTGATTTTGTCTCCAATAACCTGAAGATATATGCTGCTAGGATCTTTAGTATATACCAAAAACTGACAGGCAAGCTTTTTAAGATTATGAGTACGAATGTAAAAATACAGTTTTCAAAAATAAATTCGTAGACTTTACTACAGAGATGCTGAGGTGACCTTGAAAATGCCGATCAACTTACTGGGGTTATGAGGGTTATATATTAGTACGACGAATTAAGATTATAGTTTATAGCTGGACCTTAGAGTTAGGAGTCAGAGTTGTGATTTTCATTGCGAACTGATACCAGCCATAATGCCAAAACGCTATTTAGCTATAAAGATGAGTGAATTTCGCGCCGAAATCTCGGTATCTTGAATCTGATTGGTTCGTCCAAAATAATAGTCTCACCTGCGAGGCACGTTAACCTCGTCCCTATAGTTCGACCTTACCAAACGAACTACAACAAAGTATAAGCTTTATCCGTATCACGTGAGTAATAAGAACCCACCGACCGAATGACGAGATTTGAATCCCAAGCACTAGGTATAGGATCAAGCGTTTTCAATAAACAGATGGTAGAGAGGAACTACAAACTTCTAACTCATCGGCTACAGCCGACTGTGGTGAGTGTAGAAACGTATCTTCATAAAATGATCATCTAAAAGTAGCCCCCAAATGCCCTGGTACGGCCGAGAGTGGGGAGAGTCACCTCTCCCTCTCGAAATGCTCTCATATGGCCAGCGAATATATAGCCTCTGACAGGGAAGTCCTACTCACTGCCTTCTCGTGGCGGGGGTGTTGTCTATGAAAGTGAGAGGACGAAAAGCGAATGTCCGGCGCTTTAACCGGGTTGGTGGACACGGAGGGTCCACCTAGGGGAGTTGGAAAACCCTGATTCCAAACCAATGGTGCACATGGGCTCCAGTATCCTGATGGAACGAATGGCGGACGAACCTGTCATTGGTCAACGGCTACCATGGGACTGCATCTCCTCACGATGCTCCACTGCCTTGTGGATCAGACATTCAGGTCAAAGGCTCCGGGTGTGGCCCCCTAAGAAAACCACCTGCTTCAGTCTGGGCACCTGGGCAGTATCACAGCCCTCACACAAATCGAATGAGACTTGTGAGGCGCATATTTATCTGGTGCTTCATTGTACCAATATTTATGTGTTTAAATAAATAAATAATAAAATAAAAGTACCCGTAAATAGATTGGTCAACGAAGAACTCGAACTAATGTTCTTTTGCATTATTAAATTTTGAAACAAACCTTCAGATTCAAGTAACAAAATAAGAAGTAATCTGATAAGTAAAAAGACTATAACAAATACTCAGGTCTAAAGTCACACTTTTCAGTGAGCTAAATATTCTTCAAATGATATTTAAATGAATTAACAAGTACAACGTGAGAAGTGGAATAAATGGTTTTAACAACACGCTTCTTTAATTCCTGGAACCATGTTGAAACTGAAATGTGTTTACAGTCATAACTATCTCGCAGCTATATTGAGTTCCGTACTGTTATATCAGGCTATGAAATTCAAAGCGGTATGTTAGTGAGGAATAGGTCCATGACAAACCCTCAGGAGGTGAGACTATAATTTATGGACGAACCAATCAATTTTAAAATAACAGGTCTTGGATTTTGGCGCAAAACCTATTCATCTATTTGGTTTAAAAAATGGAGTTTAGGGAATTTCGGTGATGTCAGTTACCGATGAAAACTGTAAATATAATTCCTAACCTTAACCATCAACTGTACATCATAATCCTTATTCTCCACACAGGCTTAAAGCACTCAACTGGCTGTAGCAAGTAGGTGGACATTCTCAAGGTCACTTCAACGTTGCTCAAACATCGTCCATAAATTACAGTCCCACTCCACAGGGTCGAGATTCATCCAAATGTTTTTCAACTGTAGTATTCACCGTTTAAAAAACAAATAACCCAGACATCAAGCGCTAACACAATAAGTGGAGTTTCATGTTTAAAATTGCTTACTGCTCTCACGGTAGCAATGACAAACAAAGCTCAAATCGGCTATATCTGGATCCCGAAGACTTCGGAGGTGGCGCTGACCATAAGGTCACACTTTTCACCTCTACTTGTACGAACAAACAAAATTGATCTAACCATCAATACCCCCTTACCGATCCAGTGGAAACTGATCAAGGAAGTTATACGAGACAAGAAGTCTGCAACCACATTGTTTGCTCCAGAAACGTGTTGTACATCTGAAGTAAACTGTGAAACGTAGTCCAGATGTCGAGACTCACGAGGTGAGTACTAACCGAAGATGAGCTTGAAAGTGAGAGGTTTATGATCAGTAAAAAAAGTGAATGTTCGGCCTTCGATAGGGTGTTGAAAACGCTGTACAGCACAATACATAGCCAGAAGCTCCCTGCCGAAAGTGTTGTACATCTATTCAGTGTCTAGCAATCGTATCGAGAGAAATGCCAAAAGTTGTCAGAAGTGGTTAAACCATTGTTGTAAAACTGCTCTGATTGCTGAGTCAGATGTGTCTAGTGTGATACTAATGTGAGCTTGAGTGTCCTGATGTGACAGCATGAATGCCTTTGCAATAAGTTCCTTAACTGTGGAGAATGCTGTTCTCTCGATAACGTCCAGAATAATGGATTTCGCATTTCCACGAAGTTTATCGGTCCGCAGTCTCTTAAAGAGGGCTCATTTTGGTACGAACCGTCCATAGAAACTTGCAAGATGGTTAAATGTGGTCAACTGTCCAATGGTTCAGCGCAATCCGGATTGGCCGTGACTTCTCAGAGGTCGGATACCTTGAGCATCAAAAGTGTGTCCTAGGAAATCTAAAGAGTCGGTTCCGATTTGGAATTTCTGAATGATTACAGTAATGCCTCGCTTTCGCAGTCGTTCGTAAACATTGTCCAGATACTGGAAATAGGATTCTCTCTCTGGACTTGCTACCAAGCAGTCTTCCACATACGCATGAACGAAGTTGAGGCCTCGATAGACGACAGCTGTGAATATTGGAAAGTCTGGACAGCATTTCTCAGGCCGAAAGGCATTCTCAAAAATTCGTAGAGTCTGAAATGACTTATGATAGAAGTTTCTGGAATGTCGTCAGTTGCCATAGGAATTTCGTTATAGACTTTAACCAAGTCGATTTTCGAAAAGACAGTTGTACCTTTCAAGGTAGCTGTCAAATCGTGAGTGTTAGGCAATGCGTAACGATCGGGAATGTTTTTTGCATTCAAACACCCATAGTCACCAGTTGGACGCCAATCGCTGCTGTCTTTTTAAGGGACCGTATGCAAGGTAGTCGCCCATGAGCTGTTTGACGGTCAAATGATTCCTAACTCTATCATGTAGTTGAATTCGTTTTTGGCCACCCTCAGCTATTCGGAAGCAAGTCGGTGTTCTTTCTTAAATACAGGTGGTCCTGTAGTCGTGATGTGATGTTGGACATTGCTGGTTACATAAGACAATCTCGGTTGCGGTCGGTATATCCCAGATTACTTATCGAGTAATGGTTGATAGAATGCGTCTATTGTATGCCTAATTGTGACTGGGGATAACTTGCGACAGGAAAAAGAAGTTACGCAAACAGATAAGTTATTGTTTCCGTCTACTAGCCTCCGTTTCCGCGTGTCGATGAGTAGAACATAGTGTTGTAGCACGTCTATACCAATGATTGTCATAGAAACATCTGCAACAACGAAGATCCAGTGGATGGGTTCGCGTAAACACACATTAAGGTAAACTTACATTATACCATATTAGGTGATTGGCTTTTCTTTTGCCGCCTGTAAGTTTAAAACAGATTTGTGATGCCGGTCGCTAGAATCTGCTAAGTTTTCTGCAATTTCTGGAAGCTTTCCCATACTGGTTATGATAGCAGCACCAATCGGGATTATCCATCTCCCGCGGTCTAGAGCCAGATCGCCAGATCACGGGTTATGTGACCGTTTACGGTCATTACAAAATTTTAGATAACGTGTAAATGTATGTCATCCTGGGTCGTCTGGAGTTTTTCTTTGACTGAAAAATCTCAACATTGAACGATTGCGTAATTTCTAGGATGTGGTCGACAGATGCAGCCAGCTCGTCTACGGCAGCTCTTTGAAACGAAGCCAGCATAGCTTGCACCTGTTGCGGAAGTTTAGACAAGAAAAGTTGTCTCAACAGCCCATCATCGAGAGTTTTTCGGCCAATAACTCTCATTCATTTGTTGCTGAACCATGTTTCAGATAGATTTTACTAAACAGATGTATAACCTTTGACGATCGGTTAGATCTGCGCGTTTCAAAATCGACCGTTTTAGAGTTTCATAAGGTTCCAAAACATCGATAATAAACGCACTAGATGTGACGTAACGCTGTAGTGCCGTTACTACCGCGAGGAGTTGTGAGCGTGGACCCGTCATGCCGTGTTCGTAGTCAGCTTCTGCGTAGCAGAACCCAGCTTCTATATTGTCCGGCCAAAAGAGCATTAGCCGTAAAGAGGGTGATTTAAAGATTTTGACCTTAAGTAACTTAGTAGTCTGTTCTGTCACGGAGAAATTAAAGGATAGGGATGAACGAGGGAAAAATATTCAAAAATGCGAAAAAAGTATCACAATATATATAATATGAAGCAAAGCGATGGTTTATGGAGTTCCAAAAAGGAACTGACCCACAGTTTATGGATTGGTGTACTAGATCACGTTATGTTCACCAGTGGTGGTGCTACCGCTATTGTAGCTTGACAACACTTTTACAACAATACCTTCTATAATTGAATCGCACCCACTCAGCGAAATCAAAAGACAGAAGCAAGGAGGTTGGAATATATGTTTGATAAATCATTTATATATCGAGAAGTGACTGACCAGTGGTCTCAGAATAAGTTGAGCACGACGTTCCCACTCGTGATGTGGTGCGGACGCATGACCAAGCGCCTTCAGCTAGTTGAGTCGATTAAAACTACTGTGGTCACCATCCAATGTCGAACACTCAAAAAGCTATTGTTTTTGTGGAATTATTTACAGCTACAAAGCCACCTGAATGCCGTTTGCTGTCCTTTGTGATATTCAGTGTGTACTATGAAATCAGTTGAAGTGCACAAATTCAAACAGCATGACAGTCGCCCCAAGTCACTGAACTTTCACTTGTTAGAGCATTGACGACCCAAATGTTATCTTCTAATGACTTAAAGCATCCTCAGCACTTACAGATGAACCTTCAAATAATTATTTAAGCTGAATGTAACAAACTTTGGGGTAACAAAGAGGAAGGGAACGCTCAACAGAATTATGTTGGAAACACCTGCATTTTGAAAATTATTAACCATATTTTCACCTGTTAAGACGCCTAAAAAGTTGCTTACTAAATAGAGAAGCCAACAATCTAGGGAACCTCAGAACGGTAAGGGATTCAGAGGATTACATGACGACAAAATGTAGTCACACTCCTGTGAAACATTTATATATGAAACCATGTTACATAGTCTAACTTAAATGAGAAAATGTATCACAAAAATATCATAAGTTCGGCGTATTTCTCCCGTTTCGTGTGCAGTGTCAACCAGTGACAGACTTGGAATTCACATGTGATATAGTTTGCGAATTTCAAGGTATCTACGTTGGTAATCCTTGTTATACTAGACTAATAATCACACTTTGTTGGAAAGTAAAATCGGGATTTTGAAGTTTATTGCAACTATCTATTGCCTGATACAAAGAACAATTGACAAGCGGTTTTGTCTACTGTAAACTCGAAAACATTTCACCGTTTTGTAGTGATAGATAACGAGTGCAATGTCTACACAAAATAAAGAATGAAACGATTGTGAACTTATATTGATAGTCACTTCACCTTAAAGTATTTTGTGTCAATTATTTCTCTGGTTCAACCTCTACTGTAGTGTACTATCACAGCCTCTCTCTAGAAATGACTTCCACAGATATATTGGATTGATTGATTTTGAGGCTTAGTAGTTGAGAAAGAGCTTCAGATCACGTAGCCTTTTTAAGAATAGCCTCAGCAATTGATTGGACGTTTATCATTTATATATATATTACAAAATATTGACTGCCTGGTATCTAAATGTTTGATGTCGATACAGAGTACTTATGAATTCGAAACATTCCAACTAATTAATGCATTTGAACTAATGTGTTGTTATAGAAGATCAAAACACTAAACAAAAATATTCAGTCATGAAGTCAATGTATTAGCTATTCACTACAGTGCTTTTGTGGTGTGTGCTACTGATGTCGACAGATATAAGTAATATGTATCATCATTCAAAGTAAAATGCCTGACAGAAGAAGGTTGGGAAGATTGAAAAAAAGGGATCGAGAATGAAGAATAATTGCTGTGGAAGGAAAGAAATAATGAAGTCTGAGACGAGTGATTGACAGTCTACAAATGAAGTATTTTCTTTAATGTTCTCAGTTTTTACCACGTTCTATAATTTGTCTCTACTTCTGTTCTCGTTCACTACGGTTGTACATAAAATTGTTATCCTGCGTGGCAAGAAATCATTTCTTATTCCAAAAGTTCATTATCGATTGGTATGTACAGAGGTTTAACTAATATTGGTAAACTTGAGTTTGATTTTATTCATTTAAAATCTGTTTGTTTAACTTTCATAGCTTCAGTGTCGCTGGGTAACACTACATGGACTTTAGTCGCATGGCGATTTGGGACGAAAGTTTGGAGATTTTTATGGAACACATGTATTTACTGACGTGTCCAAGGTGTTCATGATACTACTTTTAGCTTAAATCCGTCCACTATTTGGTTGAATTTAGTTATCCGTGGTCGTTTGTTAATAAACCACTCCTCGGCGAATACAAACGGTGTTCGTTGAACTGGAGTAGGAAAACAAGGGGAAAATGCATGAAAATTAATGAAGTTCAGACAACCAAAGTAACTAGAAGTTGGTCAGGGTTTAGCTACAAGCCACTGAACTAGCACAGGCGATATTCACAATAAAAGAATTTGTCTTTACCGTATCTGCAAAGTGAAGGTGTCATTTTCTACCAGATATAGTAAGGCATTCATTAGTCATTGTGTACGCTGACCGTAAAATTGAAAAGAAATGTTAAGCAAAATACATTCTGGTTTTTTATGCATCTATTG